TTAGGACAAAAATATTATATTTAATTACCAATTGCTTAATGGTGCAATGCAATCATCTGACCCATAGGTGGCAGCCATCTCAAGCCAGAGGACGAGAGGACTCTACCCGCCACGCATATAAAGGATTTATAGTGAAACACTTTGTTTTTACGGGTTATACTTATTCCCCTCCACGTTTAGAACCGACATCACGCGTTTGGAGTTATTTGGCCACTGCTATAAATGTCCACGTGATGATGATAATGATGATAAGCCGCCAATTCGTTGAGCTATCGTTTGTGATAGCCAGCTCGCTCCTGAAAGGGAGCTGTGTACAGCTCAGGAGGCCTCACCTGGTAACATAAAAAAAAATAGTGGAAGTTTTAGTTTCATAGACCACAGGGCCACACGAGCTAGCGCCGTCTGTGTGTGTGTCTGGTTGTGTGTCTGTGTGTGTCTGTGTCTTGTGTCTGTATGTGTCTGTGTGTGTGTGTCTGTGTGTGTGTCTGTCTGTATGTGTGTCTGGCTGTGTGTCTGGCTGTGTGTGTGTATGTGTGTGTGTCTGTTTGTGTCTGTATGTGTGTCTGTGTCTGGCTGTGTCTGTGTGTGTGTCTGTCTGTATGTGTGTCTGGCTGTGTATCTGGCTGTGTGTGTGTGTGTCTGTTTGCGTCTGTATGTGTGTCTGTTTCTGTCTGTGTGTGTCTGTGTGTGTGTGTCTGTGTGTCTGTGTGTGTGTGTGGCTGTGTGTGGCACTAGCGCCGTCTGGCGGTGGTGCAGCAGTTAGCGCCGCCGCTGCGCTGTGAACTCGACAAAAGCCCCCGAGTTCGATTCTCTCGCTCACGGCCACCGACAGCGGTGGCGATTATCTGAACCGGTCCCCTGAGGTTCTCCCCCCTAGGTCGACTCAGCCTCAAATGAGTATCTGGTGCTGGCCACCCACCCCCTCGTGGCGCCGCTCGCTCACAGCACTTGCCCCGAGAGTCTCTGGAGGTTACACGGGGGACCTTTGTCTTTGTCGTCCACACCAAAACAACAACAACAGTCCCAGACAATGCAAACCCGCACAGCAAACTACCGAGAAAAACATTCGTCACAAATGAGTTTCGACGTTTAAAAATCAAATCGTTCCCATTTCATCGGCTCGCTCCGACCGGGGCATCTTCCAATCGCATCGCCATCGATTGTCGATGAGCAGCGGGACGAGGTCTCGAACGAAGATGCCGTCGATTGTCGATGAGCAGCGGGGCGAGGCCTCGAACAAAGATTCAATCGATTGTCGTTGAGCAGCGTGACGAGGTCTCGAACGAAGATGCCATCGATCCATAACCCTTTGGTTCTTTCGATAAAGTCACGTGGGTAGAGAAAAAAGCAATCGATCACGGCGTTTCGATCGCAACAACAAGCGACCGTCTTCAGGTGAGAGTATGAATTCAGGTGAGAGTATGGATGGATGTCTGACGTCACGAAAGCTTCAAGTCAAGAATGCCGTCGATCGTCGATGAGCAACGAGGCGAGGTATCGAACGAAGATGAACATCGATCGTCGTTGATCAGCGGGGCGAGACCTCGAACGAAGATTCCGTCGATGGGTCGGCTCAGAGGCGGCAGCTGATTCAAAACGATAATCGCACTTCCGCCCTAAGGAATCCTGGGACACAATCCCACAAACCCCGTGAGGGGGGACTGGGGGATGACGTCACCTTCCAGAAGGTTCTGGAAGGGAGGCGTGTCTAGGGCGGAGCGAGCCACGGACCTGTACATCAGCCGGACCTCTGAAGTGGCCGGCTCAGTCATCTCCAAGTCGAAGAACGAAGGGGCCGTCCATAAATGACGTCACGCGATTTGGGACGATCTTTGACCCCCCCCCCCCCGTCGTCACACGACGTCACAAAAAGTCAGACCCCCCCCCCTCGAATATGACGTCACAAAGGTCTGCCCCCCCCCCCCAAAAAAAATAAAACACGCTTTAAATGGCTTTAAACTATTGTCATTGTAGTGCGTATTTAATGTGGCGCTGCACTCTGATGTTGTAGGAGAAAACATTAAAAGTATGTTTCATTAAGTAGAACGTCTTCTTGGTTCTTTCGGTAAAGTCACGTAGAAGGGAAATAATAAAATAATAAAAATAAAACATAATAAAATACAATTCTCACGACGTTTCGGCCACAACGCAAGCAGCCGTCCTCAGGTGAAGAACAGATCTGTCGGAAAGACAGCGTCTGAATGGTCATTATTATTTCCCTTCTACGTGACTTTACCGAAAGAACCAAGAAAAGGTATAGCCCTGTGAGCCATTCGGCTCTTGAATCGGGTGCAACCGCAACAAACAAAAAACAAGAAAACATCTTAAAGTGACTGTGTGACTAAGTGCAAACAGAAAATCCAAGAAAAGACAGCAAAATATTGCAGAAAAGGCACCGTACAGCAACGCTGTGTGCAAAAATCCCAGTGGGATGCAAGTCAAACAACAACAACCACAAGAGAACTTAGATTAAGGCCATCAGTCTTACTCCGTACTACAACAAACAAACATGGCCAAACCAAAAAACGTTTCGAAATCACCAAAATAAAGCCATGAAAGCAATGTAACAGTGATCATAGGAACTGTGACGGAATTTTCACAATAACGACATAAACAACATGTACTACCAAAACCCTGCAGCCATACCCCGGCAGGTATCGGGTGAAAGGGGCCGTTATCCCTTTGTGTTCAGGACCCCCTGTGTTCAGAGCAGTTCAATAAATATCGTGTTGCCTCACAGAAGTTCTCCCCTCTGGTTATTGACCCACTACATACACCTAGGCCGTAATTATAATATATATTGGGGGACACACATAAATATTCTAAATTCCTCTTGATATGCAAATTCTTTTGTCAAGGCGCCCTTCCCCCCCCTTCCAACCCAGCTTAAATAGACGCTCCAAGCCATGGTGCTGTTTCATTCAGACGCTGTCTCCCCGACAGACCTGGTCTTCACCTGAGGACGACTGCTTGCGTTGTGGCCGAAACGTCGTGAGAATTACCTTATTATGTTTTATTTTATTATTTCCATTCTACGTGACTTTACCGAAAGAACCAAGAAGATGATTGTGGTTATGGTTGTAATCTCTGCCATTACATACAATGAAACAAGAAAATATAAAAAGCAGAGCAATGTAATATAATACACTATTAGGCGTTATCGTAAAAATAAAAAAACAAGTCCATCCTCTGTGTTAGTTAATTTTTTAATATTTTAGGCAGGAAATTATTTTTCAAATTTAGATTTTCTTTTTCTGGGGGGGGGGGGGGGGATTTGGTCCCCCCAATGTTGACTCCATGTCTACGGCCTTGACATACACATACGTGAAATAAGTTACCTGGAGTATGGAAGGCGAGGACATGAAATGAAGGGGTCTACAAACATCACATTGGTGACACACTGAGATAGTGTAACGGGTTCCGGAGACACTTGTAGATGTAACTTCTTTATTACAATACAACACTCCAACAGTCCTGATACTCTGTTACAGCCTAGGTACACAGCCTAGCTACACAGCCTAGATACTCTAGATACTCTACTCTGGCTACGCTCGCCCTCACAAGGTCGTAGAGTCGGGAGTTCCAGAGTCCCAGCGCTGGCTCTCACAGCATCCCAGGGTCTTCAGATGGCTGGTCGTGGGTCTTGGGTCTTGAGTTACAACTGGGCCCCGATCGTCCAGGGAGCTCTCCTTTTATGCCTGGTCCGACGAGGGGTGGGGCCGTGTGCGCCACCAGACATCCCACAGAGCACACACAGCCCCCCCCCCCCCGTTGGCGGCGCCAAAAAGGCTTAAGCACCTGGGAACCCAACGTCTGGCGCCCAAAGGCTTAAAAGCGTCTGGACCCCCTGGGAACCCAGTGCCTGGCGCCCAGAGGCTTACGCGTCTGGACCCACCTGGGAACCCAGAGCCTACAGCAGCCCCTCCCTTCTTATGTCACTACAATAGTAACAGGCACGCGCTTATTGCCCGTGCTCCATCCAGGTACTGAGGGGTTGCGCAATCAGAGGGGAGGCAGAGCTCGTCGCTGCCTCACCTCTCGTCTCTCCCTGTATTTGCAAAGCAGCTCCGCAAATTTGGTGATTTTGACGAAAAAAATGATTGGAATCGTACAAAAATGACATTTATAACACAGATCAGTGGGACATTTGTAATATTTATTTTATTTGGTTATTTCTTTTTTTCGTAACAGCTATTTTTATTGGAGTATCATCACCACCCATCACTGCCTCCCCTGCCTCCCCTGACCGCACGTACCTGGGTTTTTACTTTCTGTTCGGCGGCGCTAATCACTGCGCCACCGCTCCTCCAGCCTCCTCCCCCGACCCCCTCCCCGCTTCCCCCGGGTAGCCCCGCCCCTCGGTTGACCCGGCTGGGTCACGTGGTGTGGGCTGCCCCCCCAGCCTCCTCCCCCCCCCGCTTCCCCCGTGGGCCCCCGCCCCTCGGTTGACCCGGCTGGGTCACGTGGTGTGGGCTGCCCCCACCCCCAACCTCCCCCCTCCCCCGCTTCCCCCGGGTGGCCCCGCCCCTCGGTTGACCCGGCTGGGTCACGTGGTGTGGGCTGCCCCCACCCCCAACCTCCCCCCTCCCCCGCTTCCCCCGGGTGGCCCCGCCCCTCGGTTGACCCGGCTGGGTCACGTGGTGTGGGCTGCCCCCACCCCCAACCTCCCCCCTCCCCCGCTTCCCCCGGGTGGCCCCGCCCCTCGGTTGACCCGGCTGGGTCACGTGGTGTGGGCTGCCCCCACCCCCAACCTCCCCCCTCCCCCGCTTCCCCCGGGTGGCCCCGCCCCTCGGTTGACCCGGCTGGGTCACGTGGTGTGGGCTGCCCCCACCCCCAACCTCCCCCCTCCCCCGCTTCCCCCGGGTGGCCCCGCCCCTCGGTTGACCCGGCTGGGTCACGTGGTGTGGGCTGCCCCCACCCCCAACCTCCCCCCTCCCCCGCTTCCCCCGGGTGGCCCCGCCCCTCGGTTGACCCGGCTGGGTCACGTGGTGTGGGCTGCCCCCACCCCCCCCACCACTCTAACGGGACCGATCGGAGCAGTGGCAGCCCGCGGATCAGTCATCGTCGGTCAGGTTTGTACCTCGCTCTTTAAGAAAACAAACAACGACAACAACAAACTAACAAACAGCGGCGGGCGGCGGCGGAACCTTAAGCGGTCATCGCGGAGCGCGAGGCTCCATCGGCGAAACGCGAAGAAGTTAAAAAATAAACTTCGCGGCCGAGTCGTCGTCATGACGACGACGACCGCCATCGCTGACCCACCACCATCCACAAACAACAACAACGACGACGACAACAACGACGACAACAACATCGAGCAGCAGCAGCAGCGGGCAGGGCAGGGGGGAGGTATGGCGGGGCCTGCGTTGTTAGCAGCGGCGGCCGGCTGAGGCAGGCCGGGCAGGCCTCGGCGGGGCGCGAGTGACGCGACTCACTGCGGCTGCGGCTACGACAGCCGGTGGTGGTGGTGGTGATGGTGGTAGTAGTGATTGTGGTAGTGGTGGTGGCGATGGTGGTGGTGTTGGTGGTAGTGATGGTGATGATGGTGGTGATGGTGGTGGTGTTGGTAGTAGTGATTGTGGTGGTGATGGTGGTGGTGGCGATGGTGGTGGCGGCGATGGTGGTGGCGGTGATGGTGGGGAGTGATGGTGTTGGTTGTGGTGGTGATGATGTTGATGGGTGGTGGTGATGGGGGGTGATGGGTGGTGGTGATGGTGGGGGGTGATGGTGTTGGTTGTGGTGGTGATGATGTTGATGGGTGGTGGTGATGGGGGGTGATGGGTGGTGGTGATGGTGGGGGGTGATGGTGGTGATGGGGGGTGATGGTGGTGATGGTGGGGGGTGATGGTGGTGGTGTTGGTATTAGTGATTGTGGCAGTGATGGCGATGATGATGGGGGTGATGGTGGTGGTGATGGGGGGTGATGGTGGTGGTGATGGGTGGTGATGGGTGGTGATGATGGGTTGGTGATGGTGGTAGTAGTGATTGTGGTTGTGATGATGATGATGGGTGGTGATGATGGGTTGGTGATGGTGGTGGTAGTGATTGTGGTGGTGATGGTGGGTGGTGATGATGGGTTAGTGATTGTGGTAGTGATGGTGATGATGGGATAGTAATGTTGGGGGTGATGGTAATGATGGGATAGTGATTGTGGTAGCGATCGTATTGATGGTGGGTTGGTGATGGTGGTAGTAGTGATTGTGATGATGGGTGGTGATGATGGTAGTGATGATAGGTGGTGGTAGTGGCGGTTGTTGTGATTATGATAGGTGGTGATGGTGGTGGTAGTGATGGTAGTCGTGGTGATTGATGATGACGATGGTGATTATTGTGGGGGTGATGGTGATTATGTTGCTGCTGATGACGCTGGTGGTGGTGGTTGTGGCGGTGGTGCTGGGGAGCGGTGGTGTAGCGGTTAGCGCTACGCTGCGCTACAAACCTGTCGCCCCGAGTTCAATTCCCGCTCACGGCCACCAACACCCAGTGACGATTATCTGAACAGGTCCTGGGCCTCCCCTAGGTCGACTCAGCCTCAAATGAGTACCTGGTGCGGTGTGTGTAAACATCGCCACCAGGGAGACAAAGGCGGCCGGGCGTGGTTCTGGCTACCCGTAGGTGCTGCTCGCTAACACCACTTGCCCCAGGAGTCTGTTGAGGCTATACGGGGCATCTTTGTCTTTGATGGTGCTGCTGATGTTGGGGTTGATGGTGGTGATGGTGGTTGTGGTGATGTCGTTGTTTGTTGTTAATGGACTTGTTGTCATAGGCGTCGCCATGCATTGATTAATCCACAAGTGGTTGCTTATTTGCTGGCTGCTGTTGTGGTTAAGATGATGATGGTGGTGATGATGACGGTAGTGGTGGTGATCATAATGATGATTGTGGTTGTCGGGAGAGCGGTGGTGCTTCGCTTAGCGCACTGCACTACGAACCCGGCGAACCGAGTTCGATTCCCGCTCGCGGCTAACACGAAGTGACGATTATCTGAACCGGTCCTGGGCCTCCTGCCCTAGGTCGACTCAGCCTCAAATAAGTACTCGGTGCGGTGTGTAGTAAACATCGCCACCGGGGACACAAAGGCGGCCGGGCGTAGTGCTGGCCACCCACCCCCTCGGGTGCCGTGCCGGCCTTCATAGGTGCTCGCTAACAACACTTGCCCCTACAGTCTGTTGAGGCTATACGGGGGATCTTTGGGGAGAGCGGTGGTGCAGTGGTTAGCGCACTGCACTTCGAACCCGGCGACCCGAGTTTGATTCCCGCTCAATCCACTGCTGGATGAAGGCCCCACCCCCAGCCCCCACCTCCTCCTTACACACCAGGCGGTTCACAGGAATTATCTGACCATACTTCCCCACGCTGGGCACCGGGTTGACGAACGCGGGAGCATAGTGCGGTGCGGCGCAACACTCGTTGTGACAACCGATTGAGTTACAGGGGTCATTTAAATAAATAATGAGCCACGTGGAGTCTCACCGCTGCTCCCCCCCCCCCCCCCAATGCCATCCTTGGCCGCAGTCACGAGCGGCTGGCGCGGGCCTCGTGCCACGCTGGATTCTTGAATCCATCTGTGAGCGGCTGTTGCGCATTTCCTCCGGTTTCCTCCCCCCCGCGCCCCACCCCCATCCGAAGCGAAACCTCTCATTGCTCGTGCTGCTGTCGCCACCCCTGTGAATTCCCGCTCCTGGGCGGAGACCTCCCCCACTCTCCTCCGCACGTTCCTTTCCTTGGTGAGTCTTTGGGTCTTTCTGTCAATCTACACGAGTCTATGGGTGCTCTGTGCGAGTCTATGGCGCTCTGTTTGAATCTATGGGTGCTCTGTGCGAGTCTATGGGTGTCTGTGTGAGTCTGTGGGTCTCTGTGTGAGTCTATGGGTCTCTGTGTGAGTCTACGGGTCTCTGTGTGAGTCTACGGGTCTCTGTGTGATTTTATGGGTCTCTGTGTGAGTCTGGATCTGTCTGTGAATCTACACTAGTCTACGGGTCTCTGTGTACGTCTGTGGGTCTCCGTGAGTTTTCGTGTCTCTCCGTGAGTCTATGGGTCTCTGTGTAAGTCTGGATCTGTCTGTGAATCTACACTAATCTACGGGTCTCTGTGTAATTCTCTGTGTCTCTGTGTGAGTCTATGTGTTTCTGTGGGAGTCTATGGGTCTCTCCGTGAGTCTATGGGTTTCTCCGTGAGTCTATGGGTCTCTCTGCAAGCCTATGGCTCTCTACGTGAATCGACGCATTGAGATCATTTCCATTATTTTACTGCTATACATTTCCACGCGATGATAAGCCACTTCGTTGGGCTGTCATTCCTGGCCAGGTCGCTTCTGAAAAAGAGCTCCAGTGCATAGCTCTTGGCCACGGAACCGGCGGTCGTGGTTCCATTCCCAACCACGGCTCACGTCAGCGGCGAGTGGTATCTGAACCGACTCCGGGACTCCAGGCCCCCCTCTCTCCCCCCTCCACCTTCACTCACTAAACCCACACTGACCAGCCGCGGTGAAGAATGGTCAAGCAACCTCCGTAACCAGGGGCAACCTCAAATAACAAGGAAGAGCCGTTTTTTGTTATTCGAATTCTGAGAAAAAAAAACACGACTCAATATTGATGAAAAAATAAGAATGTGTTTTTTTGTTTTTTTTTACACAGGTGGCGTTAAGATATTTTAAAAGCAAGTAGATACCTTGATAGACAACGTCACGAGGTAGTCGCAGGTTTGACCTCTCCCCCCCCTCTCTGTCTCTTCTTTGCTTCACCAGATCGCAACCGCGCATCAAACGCACCGCCGGAGGAATGCCGGAAAATCCAGGTGCATAAAATGTTGACGAGCGTCGCTTTTCCGATCGTTGTTGTCTGGTGGTGGTGAGGTGGTGGTGAGGTGGTGGTGAGGTGGTGGTGGGGTGGTGGTCTGCTGATCTCTCTGGGTACTTGAACCCTCGCTGGTGATCTCTCTGGGTACTTGAACCCTCGCCGGTGATCTATCTGGGTACTTGAACCTTCACCGGCAGTCTCTCTGGGTACCTGAACCCTCGCCTGTGATCTCTCTGGGTACTTGAACCCTCGCCAGTGATCTATCTGGGTACTTGAACCTTCACCGGCAGTCTCTCTGGGTACTTGAACCCTCGCCGGTGATCTCTCTGGGTACTTGAACCCTCGCCGGTGATCTCTCTGGGTACTTGAACCCTCGCCGGTGATCTCTCTGGGTACTTGAACCCTCGCCGGTGATCTCTCTGGGTACTTGAACCCTCGCCAGTGATCTCTCTGGGTACTTGAACCCTCGCCAGTGATCTCTCTGGGTACTTGAACCCTCGCCGGTGATCTCTCTGGGTACTTGAACCCTCGCCAGTGATCTCTCTGGGTACTTGAACCCTCGCCAGTGATCTCTCTGGGTACTTGAACCCTCGCCTGTGATCTCTATGGGTACTTGAACCCTCGCCTGTGATCTCTCTGGGTACTTGAACCCTCGCCTGTGATCTCTCTGGCTACTTGAACCCTCGCCAGTGATCTCTCTGGGTACTTGAACTCTCGCCAGTGATCTCTCTGGGTACTTGAACTCTCGCCAGTGATCTCTCTGGGTACTTGAACCCTCGCCAGTGATCTCTCTGGGTACTTGAACTCTCGCCAGTGATCTCTCTGGGTACTTGAACCCTCGCCTGTGATCTCTCTGGGTACTTGAACTCTCGCCAGTGATCTCTCTGGGTACTTGAACCCTCGCCGGTGATCTCTCTGGGTACTTGAACCCTTGCCAGTGATCTCTCTGGGTACTTGAACTCTCGCCAGCGATCTCTCTGGGTACTTGAACTCTCGCCAGTGATCTCTCTGGGTACTTGAACCCTCGCCAGTCACCTCTCTGGGTACTTGAACCCTCGCCGATGGTCTCTCGGTTGGTGGCACCCAGCGGACCTGCAGGGCGCCGTGGCTGCCGTGGAGCGGCTGCAGGCGCGGCTGCGCGAGCTGAGCGCCGGCGACGGCGACGCCAGCGGCGGCGGTGCCGCCGACGACGACGACGGCGGCGGCGGCGGGGACGGCGACGCGATGGACGTGTGCGAGCGGCGGCTCGGCGCCCTGCGGGCCACCCTCGAAAGCCCCCTCTTCCAGCAGATCCTGCGCCTGCAGAGCTCCGTCCGGCACCTGCGTGACAAGGTGAGTCGGAATCGTAAATGGACATCCATCGCGGCGCGTGCATCCTCGCGGCGACGGCCACGGCGGTGGCTTTCGGCTCAGCCGTCGAAACGAAGACGGTGGTCGCCGTTCATCGTCGTCGTCGCGCGGCGCTTTGAGATGCTGCTGCTCCTGCGGCCGTCTGGACTGCTCTTTCCCTTCCGAGGAAGCCACTGGGAACTACGATGCACTTTTAAATCATCGTCTAGATTGACAAACTTGATTTGAAGCTTTCGTGACTGCAGGAATTCATACTCTTTGGTTCTTTCGGTAAAGTCACGTGGGTAGAAAACTAAATAATAGATCTCGGCGTTTCGATCTCAACAACAAGCAATCGTCTTCAGGTGAGAAAGAGAAACAAGCCACTGTGACAGGGCATCATAATGATCCGAGGGGGGGAGGGTCAATATAATGCCCTGTCACAGCGGCTTGTTTCTGTTTCTCACCTGAAGACGATTGCTTATTGTTACGATCGAAACATCGTGATCTATTATTTAGTTTTCTACCCACGTGACTTTACCTAAAGAACCAAAGAGTATAGATTGACAAACTCGTTTCTTTCGAGCCTGCTCGTTGCGTTTAGTGTTGTAGTCCTTCGCGCGGACCTCCGATTAGCGTAGAGAAATCCGAGGAGCTACAAAGCTCTGTTTCGCAGATGCCCGTGCGGTGCGTGGACCGTGCGAGTGCCGCGTCCGCCGTTCGGCACGGAGGGCAAGGGCAGGGCACGGGACGACGATTCGGGTGGCTGGCGTCGTCATGGGCACATTCCCCTTGGGATGACGCACCGCGGCAAATCATCGCTCCCCTCCTGCCAGATTAATTCCCACCGTTTTGCAGGCTGCCGCTGACTCTGCCACCCCCACCCACCCACCGGCCCCGCCCAGACTCCCCACCTCCCCCCAACTCTTCTGCCGTGGCATTCTAGGAATGTTCATCTGTCCAGACCGTGGTGGTCTGGAGGCCCACGTGTGTGTGTGTGTGTACGTGGCGGTCGTGACGGGCTGTGGTCCCGGCTGGCAGAAGTGCTGCGGATAGCACGGGCGTGTCCTCGGACACGTGTTCATGTTTTTAATGCACAAGACGCAAACGGACAAGGCGCCGGGGTGAGGGCTGGTTAGCAGATGGGAGGTGTTGGGTACGTGTTGGGTACGTGTTGGGTACGTGTGTGCGCGTGGCACAGTGGAGGGGAGGGCATAGCTGGGTGCATCTGCCAGTTATCTCAGTCCTGTCGGCCGGGCCTTCGACACTTCACGCGGCCTCAAGTGCACCTGGCCTGGCACGGCACAGGCGTGGAGTGGTAGTGGTGTGTGCGTAGGCAGTGGGGAGCGGTAGTGCAACGGGTAGCACCCTACAAACCCGGCGACCCGGGTTCGATTCCCCTCTCACGACCACCACCAACGCCAGCGACGATTATCTGCACCGATCCTGGGCCTCCTCCCCTAGGTCCACTCAGCCTCAATTGAGTACCTGGTGCGGCGTGTCGTAAACATCGCCACTCGGGGAGACAAAGGCGGCCGGGCGTGCCGCTTGCTGCCCAACCCCTTCGTGTGCCGTTCCGGCCTTAATAGCCGCCGCTTCTGCTGCTCGCAAACAGCACTTGCCCTGACAGTCCGTTCAGGATACACGGGGCCCATCTTTGTCTCTGCACCTCGCCAATGCAGCAAGGATCACGTAACGGCCACACACTCTCCCGTTTCCCTTTCAAGGCAGTAATGGGGTTTAAAGGGCTCAGCCGTGAGGTTACCCGTTGCTCTGTTTGGCTTGCGCTCGGAATGCAGCCGCAGCAGCAGCGATAAGAGAGATTAATTGCATCCTACAGAGTTGAGACCCGCGCAGAATTCCCCACTCGGCACACACACAGCCTCACAGCGACAAGGGTCTGGGTTCGATTCCGGACTCCAACACCGGTGTGTTAGAGAGTAAAGCCACAACATCTTGTTGTGGCTTTACTCTCTAACACGCCGGTGCGATGTACCAGTAACGCATTGGCATGTGTTTTGTTTACGCGACAAACCTTACTAATTGGCTTGTGTCGGGTGGTGGCGGGTTTAATGACGCATTTATATTTACGTGATCTAACCCAAAAACCTCTATGATCCATAAAAACAGCAGGCATCATCAGGGTCGGGATGGAACCCATGACCTCCTGATCCATAAAAACATCTCACCACAGGGAGAGCGAGAGAGAGACACGCGAACTCCAGATATACAGCAGCAGGCGTCAGGCTCAGGATTGAACCCACGACCTCCTGTACACCAGGCGAGGTGGTTAACATCTCACCACGAGGAGAGAGAGAGAGACTCAAACTCCAAATATACAGCAGCAGGCGTCAGGGTCAGTACGGAACCCACGACTTCCTGTACACCAGGCGAGGTAGTTAACATCTCACCACAGGGAGAGAGAGAGAGAGACACGCAGACTCCACATATACAGCAGCAGGCGTCAGGGTCAGGACTGAACCTACGACCTCCTGTACACCAGGCGAGGTGGTTAACATCTCTCCACAGGGAGAGAGAGAGACACGCAAACTCCACATATACAGCAACAGGCGTCAGGGTCAGGACTGAACCCACGACCTCCTGTACACCAGGCGAGGTGGTTAACATCTCACCACAGGGAGAGAGAGAGACTCAAACTCCAAATATACAGCAGCAGGCGTCAGGGTCAGGAGTGAACCCACGACCTCCTGTACACCAGGCGAGGTGGTTAACATCTCTCCACCGCGGCGCCGCAGGCGACACAGCTGCCCGGCGAGGTGGAGTTCGGCGTGGCGGAGCAGCTGGGGCTGTCGGCGACGGCCGTGCCGTGCTCCCGCTCGCCGGTGCTCACCTCGGCGCTGGTGTGCGGCGAGCCGTCCGGCTTCGGGCTGCTGGTGCAAGAGATGGCGCAGGTGAGGGTCGCGGTGCGTCCGTGCGGGCGTCCGTCCGGGCGTGCGAGTGATGAGCCGTGTCCGCTTATCGACTCATAGATAGATAGGGGTCTCTGTGGGTCTCTATGTATCTCTGTGAGTCTCTATGTATCTCTGTGAGTCCCTATGGGTCTCTGTCTCTAAGGGTCTCTATGTATCTCTTTGAGTCTCTAAGGGTCTCTATGTATCTCTTTGAGTCTCTATGAGTCTCTATGTATCTCTGTGAGTCCCTATGGGTCTCTATCTCTAAGGGTCTCTATTTATCTCTGTGAGTCTCTCTGGGTCTCTTTGTATCTCTGTGAGTCTCTCTGGGTCTCTATGTATCTCTGTGAGTCTCTCTGGGTCTCTTTGTATCTCTGTGAGTCTCTCTGGGTCTCTATGTATCTCTGTGAGTCCCAATGGGTCTATCTTTAAGGGGCCCTATGTATCTCTGTGAGTCTCTCTGGGTCTCTTTGTATCTCTGTGAGTCTCTATGGGTCTCTTTGTATCTCTGTGAGTCTCTACGGGTCTCTATGTGTCTCTCTAGGTTTCCATGTATCTCTATGCGACTCTATGCATCTCTGTGTGTCTCTTTGGATCTCTATGGGTCACTGGGTCTCTTTGTATCTCGAAGGGTTTACGATACGGTCCATCGTGGCTCATGTCTTCAAGCCACAGTGCTGTGTTGTAAGAGCTGCGCTACGAACTCGGCGACCCGAGTTCGATTCCCGCTCACGGTCAACGACAGTGGCGATAATCTAAACCGGTCCTGGGCCTCCCCTAGGTCGACTCAGCCTCAAATGAGTACCTAGTGCAGTGTGCGGTAAACATCGACACGAGGGAGACAAAGGTGGTTGGGTGTGGTGCTGGCCACCCACTCTCTGTGTGCGCTGTGCTGGCCTTCATAGGTGCTGTTCGCTAACAGCACTTGCCCCAGCAGGCTGTTAAGGCTATATGGGGGATCTTTGTCTTTGTGTACGACTCAGCCTGAAATGAGTACCTGGGTGCAGTGTGCAGTAAACACCGCCACTGGGGAGACAAAGGCGGCCGGGCGTGGTGCTGGCCATCCCTGCTTTTGCCCCAACAGTGTATGTTTGTGTCGCAGGGGCGAGTGGTGGAGTGCGTGGAGCTGCAGAGGCCGCGTGGGGGCACGCCGGGCGGCCTGGGCTTCCGCGTGGCCGGCCTGCGCAGCGACGAGAGGGGCGACCTCGGCATCTTCGTCCGGGACATCGCCCTGGGCGGCACGGCTCACCGGTAGAGCCACATCGGCCGTCCTCGGAGGGTGCCACGAACAACGCCGGAATCCCCGTGGCGACACGAGTTCGACTCTCGGGCGTGGCCCCCCCCCCACACCATCGGTTACCCCCCCCCACCACCCACCTAGGGCAGAGCTGTAATGGACCGAGAGCCAAGAAGTTGCCCCATGAGTTGTGCAAAGAGCCAAACGCCGGTTGGGGGGCGCCGGTTGGGTGGCGCCGGTTGGGTGGCGCCAGTTGGGTGGCACCGGTTGGGGGGCGCCGGTTGGGTGGCGCCGGTTGGGGGGCGCCGGTTGGGTGGCGCCGGTTGGGTGGCGCCAGTTGGGGGGCGCCGGTTGGGGGGCGCCGGTTGGGTGGCGCCGGTTGGGTGGCGCCGGTCAGGGGGCGCCGGTTGGGGGGCGTCGGTTGGCCACCGCTGCCCTAGGGGCGACTCGGGCTCACGGCACTTGACCCGAATATCCCGAGTAGGCTACCCGGGGGATCTTTGCCCTCGTTTAGTTTTTTTGTCGCGCGCCCCACCACCCCCCCTTCGCGGCAATGGCGCACGCCAGCAGTGCCGAGTGGCAGCGCTGAGTGGCACTCGAGGCCGCCAAAGTGCATCCTGCAGCGGTCGGACGCGAGTGGGCCCAATGCGGCCACCCTGATCCGGCTTAAACTAAAAGTGCAATAATGTGATGTGTTTTAATTTATTTTTATTATTTTACCAGGGTAAGGCCCACGCAGCCGCTGCACAGTAGTTCTTTTTCAGAAGCAGAACATTTCTACTGTAACTAGGAATCCAGTAGGGGTACGGGATAAGCGAAGCGTTTATAGAAACCACTCCGGTCGTCGCTCATTAGCTGATTACATTTGGAGCGTCGGTAATTGGTTTGCGCTCTGCCAGTAAAACCAAAAAAAAACACTCCAAATGTAAAACATCGCCAATGTTACTGTGGAGCAATTGCCGTCGTTGTGAAATAATGGCTCTGTCTGTGAGTGCGTGCGTCGTGCGGAGAGCGCTAACCGCTACACTGCGCTACGAACCCGGTCGACCCGAGTTCACGGCCACCAACACCGGTGACCATTATCTGAACCGGTCCTGGGCCTCCCCTAGGTCGACTCGACCTTCAAATGAGTACCTGCTGCCCTGTCACGCTTGGGGAGACAAAGGTGGCCGGGCATGGCACTGTCCACTCACCCCCCCCCCCCCGTGTGCTGTCCCGGCCTTGAAAGGTGTTGCTCGCTAACAGCACTTGTCCCCCAGTGCCTGTGTAGACTACACGGGGAACATTTAGCTTGTGTATATTGAGAGGGATGAGGTTTGTTTGCCTCAGGTGCTGTGAACATCAGTACCGGGGGAGACAAAGGCGGCCCTCGTGTGCCACCGTGCCGGCCTTCGTCGGTGCTGTCCGCTCATGGCATTTGCCTCAACAGCCTGTGAGGGCTACACGGCGGATCTTCGTGTTGGCCTTTGTGTGTGTACACAAGCACAAAGACACGCAAACAACAACAACTTAGATTTGTCCTGCACCCACAGTGAAACACGCAGTCACGCACGCAAAGACAAAGATCCCCTGTGTAGCCTTAACAGACTGTTGGGGCAAGTGCTGGTGGCGAGTAGCGGGCACCTATGAAAGGGAGCAGTAACTTTGCGTCTTTTTTTCTGGGCTCACCCCCACCCCCCGCACGGCAGGGACGGGCGGCTGCGTGAAGGCGACCAGATCTTGGCGATCAACGGGCTGCCGCTGGACACGAGCGTGTCGCACGCTTGCGCCGTGTCGCTGCTGCAGCAGGCCGCGGGCCCCGTCACGCTGCTCGTCGCTCGCCCACCGTGCCGGCCCGGCGACGACGATGGCGGCGGCGGCGGCATCCCGGCGGTAGGGGCCTCCACCCTGCGTGTGTGTGCGTGTGTGTGTGTGCGTGTGTGTGTGTGCGTGTGTGTGCGTGTGTGTGTGCGTGTGTGTGTGTGCGTGTGTGTGTGCGTGTGTGTGTGTGCGTGTGTGTGCGTGCGCGTGTGTGCGTGTGTGTGTGTGCGCGTGCCAGTTTAGGGCCCCCCTCTATCCGGCCAAATGGAAGCCGCTTGGGCAAGCGGTGGTGGTTGGGCACGCGGTGGTGGTTGGGCACGCATGTGGTGGTTGGGCAAGCGGTGGTGGTTGGGCACGCATGTGGTGGTTGGGCACACGGTGGTGGTTGGGCACGCATGTGGTGGTTGGGCAAGCCGTGGTGGTTGGGCAAGCGGTGGTGGTTGGGCACGCATGTGGTGGTTGGGCAAGCGGTGGTGGTTGGGCAAGCCGTGGTGGTTGGGCACACGGTGGTGGTTGGGCACACGGTGGTGGTTGGGCACACGGTGGTGGTTGGGCAAGCCGTGGTGGTTGGGCACACGGTGGTGGTTGGGCACACGGTGGTGGTTGGGCACACGGTGGTGGTTGGGCAAGCGGTGGTGGTTGGGCACACGGTGGTGGTTGGGCACGCATGTGGTGGTTGGGCAAGCGGTGGTGGTTGGGCAAGCGGTGGTGGTTGGGCAAGCGGTGGTGGTTGGGCACACGGTGGTGGTTGGGCAAGCGGTGGTGGTTGGGCAAGCGGTGGTGGTTGGGCAAGCGGTGGTGGTTGGGCAAGCGGTAGTGGTTGGGCAAGCGGTGGTGGTTGGGCAAGCGGTGGTGGTTGGGCACGCATGTGGTGGTTGGGCATGCCGTGGTGGTTGGGCAAGCGGTGGTGGTTGGGCAAGCGGTGGTGGTTGGGCAAGCGGTAGTGGTTGGGCACGCCGTGGTGGTTGGGCATGCGGGGGCGACGTGACCCGGCCAACGCACCCGCCTTGCCCCTGCCGGAGGAGCTCACTGATGATGGGGGAAACTGTTTCCAGATCTTTCAAGGATTCGTGAGCTCCTCACACTTTCATCCAGCCTGCAGGTTAAACCCAGGATGGATCTCGTAGGCAGGGCCAGCCTGAGTGTTTTTAACCGGCGCAGATGTTCCGTTAGAAGGGGGTCCACGTCTCGCAAGCGTAGAGAAGGGAGGGCATGACAGTGGCCGAGAAAACCCGAAGCTTCGTGTGGAGCGACAGACCAGGTAGCTTCCACACAGCAGCCTTACGCAGTCGATAGAGAAGACAGTGCCGCCCGACTGATTCGGAGTGAGACCTCTGCTGTCAAACTGGAGCTGATCGTAAGCACTCACACATTCACACAACAACAACTGCCAATAAGTGGCGGTGACGTCACCACGGCGCTTGTGCCAGGCTATGTGCACGTTAAGGCCACGTGAAGTGTCGAACACTTGCGCTGCCCTCCCCTCAAGATCTGGGGGAATGGCTTTGAAAGTTGTATAATCTCCTGTCGACGTAGATGCCACTGGTTCTTCACATTCTGCAGATGTAGATGCCACTGGTTATTCACGTTCTGCAGATGTAGATGCCACTGGTTCTTCACGTTCTGCAGATGTAGAAGCCACTGGTTCTTCACGTTGTGCCGATGTAGATACCCCTGGTTCTTCACGTTCTGCAGTTGTAGATGCCACTGGTTCTTCACGTTCTGCAGATGTAGATGCCACTGGTTCTTCACGTTCTGCAGATGTAGATGCCACTGGTTCTTCACGTTCTGCAGATGTAGATGCCCCTGGTTCTTCACGTTCTGCAGATGTAGATGCCACTGGTTCTTCACGTTCTGCAGATGTAGATGCCCCTGGTTCTTCACGTTGTGCAGATGTAGATGCCACTGGTTCTTCACGTTCTGCAGATGTAGATGCCACTGGTTCTTCACGTTCTGCAGATGTAGATACCCCTGGTTCTTCACGTTCTGCAGATGTAGACGCCACTGGTTCTTCACGTTCTGCAGATGTAGATGCCACTGGTTCTTCACGTTCTGCAGATGTAGATGCCCCTGGTTCTTCACGTTCTGCAGATGTAGATGCCACTGGTTCTTCACGTTCTGCAGATGTAGATGCCCCTGGTTCTTCACGTTCTGCAGATGTAGATGCCACTGGTTCTTCACGTTCTGCAGATGTAGATGCCACTGGTTCTTCACGTTCTGCAGATGTAGATGCCACTGGTTCTTCACGTTGTGCAGATGTAGATGCCCCTGGTTCTTCACGTTCTGCAGATGTAGATGCCACTGGTTCTTCACGTTCTGCAGATGTAGATGCCACTGGTTCTTCACGTTCTGCAGATGTAGATGCCCCTGGTTCTTCACGTTCTGCAGATGTAGATGTCACTGGTGCTTCACGTTCTGCAGATGTAGATGCCACTGGTGCTTCACGTTCTGCAGATGTAGATGCCACTGGTTCTTCACGTTCTACAGATGTAGATGCCACTGGTTCTTCACGTTCTGCAGATGCAGATGCCCCTGGTTCTTCACGTTCTGCAGATGTAGATGCCACTGGTTCTTCACGTTCTGCAGATGTAGATGCCACTGGTTCTTCACGTTCTGCAGATGCAGATGCCCCTGGTTCTTCACGTTCTGCAGATCTAGATGCCCCTGGTTCTTCACGTTCTGCAGTTGTAGATGCCACTGGTTCTTCACGTTCTGCAGATGTAGATGCCACTGGTTCTTCACGTTCTGCAGATGTAGATGCCACTGGTTCTTCACGTTCTGCAGATGTAGATGCCACTGGTTTTTCACGTTCTGCAGATGTAGATGCCACCACCGCCGTCTATTGCGCGGCGGTTTAAATTACGACTCTCGGTCCGAACGGGCCGCAACTGGACATACGGACCAGGTTTGTTTGTACCTCTGAAAGTTCGCAAGTAGAATGTTCGTAAATGGAGGAGTCCCCTGTATTGTTAACGTACAAAGCAGTGAACCATCTTGCACCCAGCCTACATCATTGACGACGCTGCACCCATTTGTCCCCCTCAAGGTTCAGATCATCTCTCTGCATTCCCAGATCGAGGCTTCTTCGGCCTATGGCTGACCGAGATGTTTTTCCCCGTGTAGCCCCCAGGCTACGGAACCCTCTCGGAGTCTGTGGACATTTTTTTTAAAATGCGTCTTAAAACCTATTTACATACGCTTCCGCTTTTTCAACTTTTAGCGCATTTGGCAACACGGATTTTTAAAACGTACTTGTAATATAATTGGTTTTCATGCCGAGTGCCTGCTGCTGCTGCTGTCGTTAACAGCGCTTTGAGATCCATGACAGAAGTTGTTTGGGTTAGATTGCGTAAATATAAATGTGTCATTAAACCCGTCACCATCCGACACAGCCAATTTAGTAAGGGGTTTGTCACGTAAGCCAAACGTGGCCAATTCGTTACAAGTACAGCACCCACCGGTTGTGTGTTGAAGAGTAAACCCACTACAATGTTTACAATTTCAGTACCGTGACGTTTCGCTTGTGATGACAACAACCAGCATCATCAGGCTGTCTATCTTGGATAAATGTTGGTCGCGAAAGCCTACGTGTTAAACTGCTTTAAGATCTTCTTGGTTCTTTCGGTAAAGTCACGTAGAAGGAAAATAATAAAATAAGACTAAAAAACCAATAAAATAATTCTCACGACGTTTCGGCCACAACGCATGCAGTCGTCCTCAGTTGAAGACCAGGTCTGTCGGGGAGACAGCGTCTGAATGCTTTGAGATCCTTGATGAAAAGCGCTATATAAATTGAATTATTATTATCACCTGTGCCCCCACCTCACCCACCGCCATCACCATCACCGCCACGGCAGGAGGGCGACGTCCCGCCGTGGGGCTGGGAGCGGGCGGTGGACACGGTGGAGCTGACCAACGACGGCTCGGGGCTCGGCTTCGGCATCGTCGGGGGCAAGGGCACCGGCGTGGTCGTCAAAACCATCCTGCCCGGGGGGGTCGCCGCTCGCGTGAGTCCGGTGCCGGGCCCGCCGCCCCCCGTGCCGCCCCCCCCCACCCACACCCTCGCCTATCCCACCCCAAGGTGGAATAGGACAGATTTTCTTTTTTTTTTCTTCTATCTCTCGCCCATGACGATCAGACGATAGGCCGTCACGACGTCATCGTCGCCTCCGGAGATACCGTCCGGGAGGAAATCTCGTGGGGGGGGGGGGAAGGACGGCACCACCCCCCCCACCCCGCGCTTGCGGATATCGCGGAGCCACGACCCGCGAGTTCCTCCCTTTCCGCATAGACGAAGATTCCGCCCCCCCCGTGTAGCCTTAACAGACTGTTGGGGCAAGTGCTGTTATAGCGAGCAGCACCTATGAAGGCCGGCGCTGTGGCACACGAGGGGGTGGATGGCCAACGTCGCGCCCGGCCGCCTTTGTCTCTCCCAGTGGCGACGTTTTACTACACCACGCCGCACCGGGTACTGATTTGAGGCCGAGTCGACCCAGGGGAGGCCCAGGAGCGGTTCATACAATCGTCACCGATGTTCGTGGCCCGTGAGCGTGAATCGAACCCGGGTCGCCGGGTTCGTAGCGCAGAGCGCTAACCGCTGCACCACCGTTCCCCACGCCCCTGCCCCCACCAAGGTGGATTAGGACGATTTTATTAGGACTGATTGGCCTCCACCTTTTGCCGTTGTTTCTCTGGTCTCACACTGGTGGTGAGACTGGGCCACAAAGGAGGCCAGCTATGGTGTGGGCCAATCTATTTCAAAGACAAATGCATCCATTATCATCGGAGCAAGTTTAATCTATTTGGTGTTTGAACATCTAAACACCTCCTGCTTCATTGCCAGAAATGGTAAAAAACCTATTGTTATTTTTCATCATTTTGGATACTGCTAAAAAGGTGCCGTGGATATCTATGGGCAGTGTGTATGTACGTTGAACTTCTTTCGCACCGTAAGAGGCCAGTCTGAGGTGCAGCGCTGCGTCTATGGATGATGATGATAATAATAGCGATACAAATAACAACAGCAACAACGTCTGGCCCTGCAGGATGGGAGGCTGCAGAGCGGAGACCACATCCTGCAGATCGGGGACACGGACGTGCAGGGCATGGGCAGCGAGCAGGTGGCCCAGGTGTGCCAACGCGCCCGCTGTGCACACACGCACCCCTCGCTCGTCTTCCCGTTCGGAGTTCCGGTGCGGTGAAGGGCGATGCTGGTGCCCGCGCGTGTCCGTGCGTGCGGTATGCGCTGTTCCGCGCGTGTGATGCACGCGCCGCGTGCGATGCACGCGCCGCGTGCGTGTGTGTGTGTGTACACGCGTGCGTTTGTGTGTACACGCGTGCGTTTGTGTGTACACGCGTGCGTTTGTGTGTACACGCGTGCGTGTGTGTGTACACGCGTGCGTGCGAAGGTCCTGCGCCAGTGCGGCACGCACGTCAAGCTGGTGATCGCGCGCGGCCTGAGGGAGGCCGAGCGCCCGTCGCCGCCGTCGTCGCCGCCGCCGCCGCAGTCCCCTGGGGGGTTGTCGTCGTCGTCGTCCACCCGGTCGGCCTCGAGGGAGGAGGAGATCCCCTCGGTCGCCTCCCTGCACGCCCTCCGCTCGGAAGAGGTGCGACCGGTGAATCGCCGGAATGGCCGACCGCAAATTGCCGCCCGCGCAATTGCTCGGCACGCGCGTGTGTGTGTGTGCGCGCTTGTGTGTGCGCGCGTGTGTGTGTGTGCGTGTGTGTGTGTGCGTGTGTGTGTGCGTGTGTGTGCGTGTGCGTGCGTGTGTGTGCATGTGTGTGTGTGCGTGTGTGTGTGCGTGTGTGTGTGCGTGTGTGTGCGTGCGCTTGTGTGCGCGTTTCGTGTCGACTCGGCCTCGAATGAGCGCCGGGGTGCGGTGTGGTAAAACATCGCCGCCGTGGAGGCAGTGGCGGCCCGGGCGTGGCGCTGGCTGCCCGCCCCCTCGTGTGCCGCTGCTGCTGCTGCTCTAACAGCACTTGTCCCCACCGACGGTCTTGGTGAAGGCTACACGGGGGGGGGCAGGGGGGACCTTTGTCTTTGCGTGCCCACGGTCGTGACCGCCAGCGGCACGTCGGATTTCTCAACAGACGCGCGTTGTAAGCGTTTAGAAAGCGTTCCGCTCTCGCGCGATCAGCGCTGCATGCGCGCGCAGCTCGTTAGCCGCGTGATTTGCGCCGCGGCGACAGATGCCGCCGCGTGATGAGCTCGGAGATCGGCGTTGGCTCCCCCCCCCCCCCCCCCCGCGAGACGACTTCAAAAATCTGGTGCCGCAGATGCCACCGGGACTGGGAATTCGGCAGACGCGCGATAACGAGCCCTTGCCACCGCAACCCCCTCCCCGTGCCCTTCCCCACCGCCCCCCCCATCCGTGGCAGCTGTTAACGCCAACAGCAGCAGCAGCAGCAACGACTCAAAAGGAAGGGAAAAAAAAACGATGAAAAAAATCCGGCACAAAATTTTGCACCGGGGAGGGGGAGGGCGAGGTGCCTGTTTGCCCGGGCGCCAGCCTTGCGCGCCGGCCAGCCGTGGTGAGCCGTTGCAAATTTGCGCCGTCTCATCGACCTGAATTAATGAATTTGTCCCGACGAAGTAGCTTTGGATTTCTTGAGTAACAAAAAAAACTTAAAAATATCTGACATTTATCAAAGTGACGTTGGCGCCCGTGAAACTGAGCTTGTGAATTCGACAAATTATCCGCCGCCGCCGCCACCGCCGCTGCGTTGGGGCAGTGGTGCACGAGCACAACCAACAACAACAACAACACAAACCTGCCCAACGTCGTCTCTGTGTCAACAACAACAACAATGCCGTGTGTGTGTGTGTGTCACGCTCGCTAACAGCACTTGCTCCAGCAGTCTGGTAAGGCTATAAGAGGGGGATCTTTGTCTTTGTATCAGTGTGTCAGCACGTGCGTGGAGCGGTGGCGCAGCGGTTAGTGCGCCGCGCTACGAACCCGACGACCCCGAAGTTCGATTCCCGCTCACGGCCACCACCAACGTCAGTGACGATTATCTGAACCGGTCCTGGGCCTCCTCCACTAGGTCAACTCAGCCTCAAATGAGTAACCTGGTGCGGTGTGTAGCAAACATCGCCACTGGGGAGACAAAAGCGGCCGGGCGTGGTGCTTGCCACTCGCCCCTTCGTGTGCGGTGCAGGTTCGTCATAGGTGCTGCTCGCTAACAACACTTGCCCCATAGGCGATACTCGCTTGTTGAAGGCTATTCGGGGGACCTTTGTCTGTGCCAGCAGGGCGAAGGGGTGGGTGGCGTCGAGGCCTACGAGGTGGAGCTCACGAAGGACACGCAGGGGCTGGGCATTACCATCGCTGGCTACGTTGGCGATAAGAACTCTGGTAACGTCTCGCCATCAGCTTGTCTATGGGTCTCTGTGTTGCGTCGATAGTTTATGTGTGAGTCTGCGGGTCTCTGTGTGAGTCTGTGGGTCTCTGTGTGAGTCTCTGGGTCTCTGTGTGAGTCTATGGGTGTCTGTGTAAGTCTATGGGTCCCTGTGTGAGTCAATGGGTGTCTGTGTAAGTCTATGGGTCTCTGTGTGAGTTTATGGGTCTCTGTGTGAGTTTATGGGTCTCTGTGTGAGTCTATGGGTGTCTGTGTGAGTCTTTGGGTCTCTGTGTGAGTCTATAGATCTCTCTGTGAGTCTGTGGTCTCTTTGTGAGTCTATGAGTGTCTGTGTAAGTCTATGAGTCTCTATGCGAGTCTATGGGTCTCTGTGTGAGTCTATGGGCAGTAAGATATTGGATCTTGACCAGGCTACTCCTGAAGTCGGCCTCTGGCTCACACGCCGGCCTAGGCTATAAAAAAAACCTCCACCGGTGGAGGGGGGTGGGGGGCTGGGTGGGGGAGGCCTTCATCCAGCTTTTGATTGATCGTGACGACGACGATGTGGTTCAACTCCTCGCCCGCAAAATTTCGAAGTGTAGAGCGTGTAGCCTGCGTGGCCGCGCAGGGTTGACGCTGCGTTGTTGCCGTGCGCGGTTGTTTTGCGGTTGGCCGCCGAGCAGAGCTGTCGGGAATCTTCGTGAAGAGCATCACCCCGGGCAGCGCCGCGGAGCACGACGGGCGCATCTGGGCCGGGGACCAGATCATCGCCGTGAGGCTCGCGCGGCACGCACGCACGCTTGCACAATCACGCGTTCGCACACACACTCATATACTCACGTACTCGCGCTCGCACGCACACACGCACTCGCACGCACTCGCACGCGTGCATTCACACACACGCTCATACACTCACGTACTCGCACACGCACGCGCACACGCACTCACGCGTACACGCACCTTGCACACACTGACACGCACACGGCGCACGTACGTACACACACATACACACGACACACGGTTCGGATTAACGTCACTGGTGTTTGGTGACCGTGAGCGGGAATCGAACTCGGGCCATAACCGATGCACTACCGCTCCCCACCACACACGCACGCACACACACGCACACACACACACGTACACACACACACACGCGCACACATGCGCACACGCACACACACGCGCGCCAGGTGGACGAGACGGACCTGCAGGGCTTCACCAACCAGCAGGCGGTGGAGGTGCTGCGCCGCACCGGCAGGACGGTGCGCCTCACACTCGCCCGCCGGGAGCCGCGGCACGGCGCGGCCGCCGGCGGGCGCCGCTCCTCCCGGCACAGCCCCGGCTCGGGGTCGAGCGAGGGCGGCGACGACGACGACGGTGACGACGGTGACGAGGTGGAGGAAGAGGGGCGACGGCGCTCAACCTCTCCCGGCGGCCGGCGCGGGCTCGGCAGCGGCGGCGGCAAGCGAGAGAAGATCTGGAGCGCCGACGCGGAGACGGACGCCCCCAGCGTCACCGTCACCATCTCGCCCTCCAGGCCCGGTGAGACTTTGGGTGCGCTACGGTGGGCTCGGAGATGTTGACTACATCGCCTGGTGTGCAGGAGGTCGTGGGTTCGATCCTGACCCTGACGACGCCTGCTGTATATTTGAAGTCTGCGTGTCTCTCTCATCATCATCATCATCACGGTGGCTAGGAGATGTTAACTACCTCGCCTGGTGTACAGGAGGTCGTGGGTTCGATCCTGACCCTGACGACGCCTGCTGTATATTTTAAGTCTGAGTGTCTCTCTCTCTCATCATCATCACGGTGGCTAGGAGATGTTAACTACCTTGCTTGGTGTACAGGAGGTCGTGGGTTTAATCCTGACCCCGACGATGCCTGCTGCTGTGTATTTGGAGTTTGCGTGTCTCTCTCGCTCTCCCCGTGGTGGTCACGTGGATTTTTTTCTCCGGGGTCCTCCTGTTTTTCCCCTCCACATTTCGAATCAACGGTCATGTGCTTAGAGTTATTTGGCTGCTGCTGTGAATTTCCACGAGATGATGATGATGGTAAGCCGCCACTTTCGTTGAGCTATCGTTTGTGATAGCCAGGTCGCTCCTGGAAAAATATCTACAATATAGCTCAGTGAGCCTTACACCTGGTGAAATAAAAATAGTTTAGTTCAGTGGTGGTGGCGACGAGCGGTTGCCGGGTCGCAACAAACGTCGGGCGGCCTTCACCGTGCACGCACCACCATCTCTGCCGGGAGATAGCCGGCTAATTATCGTCTTTCTTTTCTTACCTTATACAGATTTACAAACACTAATTGTGTTTTCCCAATCGTGGTTATTTTCACTTATTTTTAATCGGCCAAAATCTTTGACCGTGATGCCCGCGCCGGGCGGCACGTCGGTATTAACCAGGACGGCCGCTGGGCTGAAACCGCTCGGGTCGCGTCAAGCCCCGAATCGTTTCGCCGCCGGATCTGTTTCATCATCTTCGTCGTCGTCATCGTTGCCGAGGAGGAGGCGGTGGTGGCGGCGCTAGGCGGCCACGCGGCAGCGGGCGGAACGTTACGGACACACGAGCGACGAGCGAGCGACGAGCGAGCGACGAGCGATCGACGAGCGATCGACGAGCGATCGACGAGCGATCGACGAGCGGGCATGCGCGGGCGTTGTGTTGGCGCGCGTAGGCGGTGTGTGGGGCGGCGCGAGGCGCACCAGCGGCGGTGGCGGTACCACGCTGAGCGCTGCCGGCACGGACAACGATGAGGAGGAGGTGGACGATGCTCGTGGGCGGGAGGCCGAGCGGCGTCGCTTCCTCCCCGGTTAGCTCGCCCGGCCCCCCACCCCCCACCCCCCCCACCCACCCGCCTTGACGGCCACCAACGGGAAGGGGAGTTTGACAACAGCGATCCACCAACCCTCCCGCTGCTGCTGCTGCCTCCATAGCGCCGGGTTACAGGGCAGCCACCGCAGCCGCCGCCGCCACCCGCTTCCGTCCCGTGTTGCGCTGTTTTGTTCGGCGTAGGGGAGGCGGCGTGAGGCCCGCGGCGTTTGTTGACGTTGGCCGTGCCGATTGTCGTCGGCGTGACGCCAACTCGCGAGCTCTCTCCCCCTCCCCCCCCCCCCCCCCGTCGTGGCTAGGAGATGTTAACTCCCTCGCCTGGTATACAGGAGGTCGTGGGTTCGATCCCGACCCTGACGCCTGCTGTATATTTGGAGTTTGCATCTCTCATCATCATCATAACGGTGGCTAGCAGATGTTAATTATCTCGCCTGGTATGCAGGAGGTCGTGCGTTCGATCCCAACCCTGAGGATGCCTGGATTTTGCGTGTCTCTCTCTGCCCGTGGCGGTCTCGTGGATTTTCCCTCTGGATCCTGCAGTTTTTCCGCCTCCACGTTTAAAATCGACGTGCGAGTATTTTGGCTGCTGTGCATTTTCACGCGATGAGACACCATAGAGCTGTCGTGCGTGATGGCCAGGTCGCTTCTCAAAGAGAGCTGCATAGCTCAGTGGGCCTTACCTGGTAGAATACATCTAAATCGTTTACAGTCTTAGTTTACCTGCTCCGTCGCACGCACGCCGATTCGTAGCTCGTGGTGCCCACGCCGCTATTTAAATCATCACGAGCTTGTGTGCCCGTCCAAGGACGGGTCTATATCGCAGTAAATCTGAAGTATTCAATAGAAAAATTGTTCAGCTCATGATTATCAATGAGGGGGGGGGGGATGCCTCACTTCATCCGTTCATGATTATTAATGACGGTGGGGGGGGGGGGGGGGCCTCATGTGGAGTGACGTCACGCGCGGGACGCGCACACATCCTTGGCTTATTATATTAGTAATCATCTAGATTGACGAACTCACTTCTTTAGGCCTGCTTTTTGTGTGTTTAGTTTGTTGTCCTTCCCCGCCCCCGCCCCTCCGATGAGCAAGTCTGGCTACGTACGGTGCGAAAGAAGTTCAACGTGCACACAAACTCCTCCTCATCACCCTCCTCCTCTTCCTCCTCGTCTCGTGCAGGAATCAAGGCCTCCACCGAGGACGACGACGTCGTCAGGGCCAGCTGGCAGAACATCCTCGGAGCGGGGAAAGAAGTGGTGGTGCGTCGCCCAACCGCGCACTCCCGTCGCCGCCCGTCGTCGGGGACGGGCACGCGCCCACCCCCATTGGCGCCGTTAGAAGTTCCAGACGGACGTGAAGCGTTCGCGTCGTCGTTCGTAACCCCCCCCCCACCCTCCTTCTCCCTCCGCGTCGCCGTCCAGGTGTCGCGCGTGTTCAAGACGAGCGAGCGCAGTGGCCTGGGCATCAGCCTCGAGGGCTCCCTGGGGCACCACCACATCCGCTCCATCCTGCCCGAGGGGCCCGTGGGGCGCAGCGGCCTGCTGCTCAGCGGGGACGAGCTGCTGGAGGTCGGGGCCCCCCCCACACACCCACCGCACTCACCCACCCCACCCCAGCCACCTCACCCACCCACCGCACTCACCCGCCCCACCCCAGCCCACGCACCCCACCCCACCCCAGCCATCTGACCCACCCACCCCACCCACCCACCCCCAGCCATCTGACCCACCCCTCCACCACCCCACCCACCCCACCCATGCCACCAAATCCCACCCACCCCACCCCAGACATCTGACCCACCCCCCCACCACACCACCCACCCCACCCACCACACCTACCCCACCTAATTCCACCCACCCCACCCCAGACATCTGACCCACCCCCCCACCACACCACCCACCCCACCCACCCCACCTAATCCCACCCACCCCACCCCACCCACCCCACCCATGCCACCCACCCCACCCCAGCCATCCAATCCACCCACCCCACCCACCCCACCCATCCCACCCACCGCACCCACCCCACCCATCCTCCCCACCGACCCCACCCATCCACCCTACCCACCCAAGCCATCCGACCCACCCACCCCACCACCCCACATACCCCCCCACCCCTAACCACTCCACCCACCCCACCCCACCTACCATACCCATTACACCCACCCAACCCCACCCACCACACCCATAAACCCCCCCACCCACCCCACCTACACCCCGACCCCACCCCAGCCATCCGACCCACCGACCACCCCAACCCACCAACCCCACCATCCCACCCCACCCACCGACCCCAACCTACAGCCTCCCGCCCACTCCCTACCCACCCCTCTACCCCATACTGTCCCCTCTCCTGTAGCCACCCCCCCCCCTTAGTGAGAGTGAGGGAATGGAGGGGGGAGAAGGAGAGAGGGAGGGGGGGGGACGGAGGGAAGAAGCGTGGGTGGGGGGGGCAGAGGGAAGGAAAGTGCGAGGGAGGAGGGGAGCGAGCGAGGGAGGTCACGTGTGTTGACGGGGCCCCCCCTCTGGCCCCCCCCCCCAGGTGAACGGCACGCGCCTGCTGGGCCGTGCCCACCGCGAGGTGGTGGCCATCCTCAAGGAGCTGCCGCTCGCCGTCACCATGGTGTGCTCCCGGCACGCCCACGACTACGACGCCGGCGCCGGCGGGCAGAGCGCCTCGTCGCCCGGCCAGGTGAGAGCCGGGTCGGCACTCGCTCGCTCTCTCTCTCTCTCTCGCCCCTGCCCATAGACTCAGCACTGCCCATAGACTCAACACTGCACCATAGACTCAGCACTGCACCATAGACTCAACACTGCCCATAGACTCAACACTGCCCATAGACTCAACACTGCCCATAGACTCAACACTGCACCATAGACTCAGCACTGCACCATAGACTCAACACTGCCCATAGACTCAACACTGCCCATAGACTCAACACTGCCCATAGACTCAACACTGCACCATTGACTCAACACTGCCCATAGACTCAACACTGCCCATAGACTCAACACTGCACCATAGACTCAGCACTGCACCATAGACTCAACACTGCCCATAGACTCAACACTGCCCATAGACTCAACACTGCCCATAGACTCAACACTGCACCATTGACTCAACACTGCACCATTGACTCAACACTGCCTATAGACTCAACACTGGACCATATACTCAACACTGCCCATAGACTCAACAATGCACCATAGACTCAACACTGCCCATAGACTCAACACTGCCCATAGACTCAACACTGACCATAGACTCAACACTGCCCATAGACTCAACGCTGCTCATAGACTCAACACTGCCCATAGACTCAACACTGCACCATAGACTCAACACTGACCAAAGACTCAACACTGCACCATAGACTCAACACTGCTCATAGACTCAACACTGCACCATTGACTCAACACTGCCTATAGACTCAACACTGGACCATATACTCAACACTGCCCATAAACTCAACAATGCACCATAGACTCAACACTGACCAAAGACTCAACACTGCACCATAGACTCAACACTGCCCATAGACTCAACACTGCCCATAGACTCAACACTGCCCATAGACTCAACACTGCACCATTGACTCAACACTGCCTATAGACTCAACACTAGACCATATACTCAACACTGCCCATAGACTCAACAATGCACCATAGACTCAACACTGCCCATAGACTCAACACTGCCCATAGACTCAACACTGACCATAGACTCAACACTGCCCATAGACTCAACACTGCCCATAGACTCAACACTGCACCATAGACTCAACACTGACCAAAGACTCAACACTGCACCATAGACTCAACACTGCTCATAGACTCAACACTGCCCATAGACTCAACACTGCACCATAGACTCAACACTGACCAAAGACTCAACACTGCACCATAGACTCAACACTGCTCCATAGACTCAACACTGCCCATAGACTCAACACTGCCCATAGACTCAACACTGCCCATAGACTCAACACTGCCCATAGACTCAACACTGCCCGTAGACTCAACATTGCATCATAGACTCAACACTGCCCATAGACTCAACACTGCCCATAGACTCAACACTGCCCATAGACTCAGGGCCGCATGGTTGGCTACGTACGGTGCGAAAGAAGTTTAACGCATGGTACACACATAACGCTGCGTTTCTGATTCCGGTCGCGTGGTGCGTCTCACGTCACTATCGTCGCCTGTGTGTCCGTGTTTTCGAGTCTACGTGTCTGCACGTGCGTCCGTGCGTGCGAGTCTACGAACGTTGGCAGCATCGACATCTTTGCGTGACCATGCGTGCGTGTTGTACCACACGTGCGCGTATGTACCGTATCCACGCGCGCGCGTGACAGACCGTGCGTGTGTGCGTGCCTGCGTGCGTGCGTGTGCCCGTCTCTCGGCAGCTCGGGTTGCCCGCCCCGCGGCTGCCACCTTTCGCGTGGGGAGGCAGCCAACAGAGTCTCGCCAGCTCTGACCACAGCCTGGGCCAGGTGAGAGCGGCACAGCCCTCGACGTGGGGCCCTCCCGTGGCGTCGTCGGCCCGGCGCGGCTTCGTGCGTCCGCAAATAGTTTATAGTTCTCTCGGTTAGTTTTAGAGATGTTTGTGGCTTGCCAGGCCGTGGTGGCGAGAGGGTTGGCGGGTCGCGACCGACGTCACGAGGCTTCCGCCACACGCGCCGGGAGGAGGGGCCGCACGATGGCCCCACGGCAAATGCGCCACGCCGGCTAATTATCGTCTGTGCCTTATTACGTCATGTATAGATTTGGAAGGCGCTGCTATGTAGGTTATAACATTGTACGCAAGATGACAGTGGTTGAGACGGGGTTGTTATTAATGGCGGTGGTGTAGTCATGGTACGTACTATGGACTTCGGGTTCGGCGATGGATCGTCAACGCTGAGCAGCACCAGCACAGCTTCTCTTGCCCATCGTGGGGTGAGGTGTTAAACTAATTTAATCTATTTTTTTTATTAATCAGGTAAGGTCCACTAAGCTACATAGCTCTTTTTCGTAAGCGACCTGGCTGTCACAAACGATAGCTCTACGTCCTCATTGCGTGGAATGTACAGCAGCCAAATAATCTTAAACGCACATGGATTCTCAATGTGGATAAAAATCCACACAGAGAGAGAGGGAGACACGCAACTCCAAATATACAGCAGGCGTCAGCATCAAATCCACGACTTCCTGCATACCAGGCGAGGTTGTTAACATCTCCCGGCCACCATGATGATGATGAGAGAGAGACGCAAACTCCAAATATGCAGTTTAACACGTAGGCTTTCGCGACCAATATCATCCATAATAGAGGTTTTGGGTTAGATCGTGTATACAACAGGCGTCGGGGTCGGGATTAAATCCACGACTCCCTGCATACCGGGCGAGGTCGTTAACATCTCCTAGCCACCGTGGCGCCCTTAGTGACCGCGACCTTCGCCCCCCACCGCCCCCGCCCCCCACGCAGATGTGGTCCGGGGGTAGCCCCCCCGCGTCTCCAGATGGCGCTCTCGCGGCCGGCAGGCCCAAGGCTCCGGCCGCGACGAACCTCGGACCCCAGAGTGGCGTCTCCTCCTCCTCCTCGTCTCCCGCGGCGTCGCGGACGGAGACGGAGCGAGCGCCGTGGAGCCCGGACGACGGCGGCGCCGGAGTCGTTCTCGGGGGACCCCGGAGCGCCGGGCCGGTGGGGGGGGGCGCGACGGGGACAGAGGCCGAGGAGGGGGAGGGGGGGGGTGGCGGCGGTTGCCGGAGGGCAGCAGCCCATGTGGGACTCGGAGGTGCAGTGGATCGAGCTGGAGAAGGGCAGCCAGGGGCTGGGGTTCAGCATCCTGGACTACCAGGTGAGTGAGAGGCCGAGGGACGATCCCGGGAGGCTCCCCAGTCGCAGCCGTCGTCGTCAGCAACATTGTCGTCGTCGTCACCATCATCATCATCCCCGTCGTCATCATCGTCACCATCATCATTACCGTCGTCATCGTCGTCACCATCATCATTACCGTCGTCATCATCATCGTCATCATCATCATTACCATCATCATCATCGTCACCATCATCATCATTACTGTCGTCATCGTCGTCACCATCATCATTACCATCGTCATCATCATCGTCACCATCATCATCATTACCATTGTCATCATCGTCACCATCATCATCATTACTGTCGTCATCATCGTCACCATCATCATCATTACCATCGTCATCATCATCGTCACGATCATCCTCGTCAGCAGCCATGGTCGTCCCTTCCAGCCCCTCCCATCACGGCCGCCCCCCCCCCCCACCATGGCCGCCCTCATGGCTGTCCCCACGGCCGCACCCACGGCTGCCCCCCACGGCTGCCCCCCCCCCACCACGGCTGCCCCCCCTCCCCCCACCACGGCCACCCCCCAATGGCCGCCCCACCACGGCCACCCCCGCAGCCGCCCCCACTGCCACCGCCTGCCGGTGCCGTGTGTTGCCGGCAGGACCCGTGGGACGCGGACCGCAGCGTGGTGCTTATCCGCTCGCTAGTGCCGGGCGGCGCCGCCGAGCGGGACGGCCGCCTGCTGCCCGGCGACCGCCTGGCGTTCGTCAATGAGCGCGACCTCACCGGCGCCGGCCTGGAGGAGGCCGTCGCGGCCCTCAAGGGGGCACCGGCGGGCACCGTTCGCATCGGCGTGGCCAAGCCCCTGCCGGTGAGAAGGGGGAGGGAGGGAAGTGGGAAGGGAGGGAGGCAGGGAGGGGAGGGGAGGGAGGATACTCCATTGGCTGTGCTAGGCCCAAGCATACCAAGCAAAGGCATAGGGCCCCAAGCAGCTGAAGGAGATCCGATATTAAAGCGAAAGAAGCTCAAACATTCCGTACGCACACACACACACAAGCCCTGTGCAACCCCCTCGCTCGTTTCATTCCGAACGATTCCCCACCGTCGCTCTAACACCCCCCCACCTCCCCCGCCCCACCTCTTCGCTCGTTAAACCTAACGGGGCGCTCCCTCTGTGTTTTCCCCCCTCCCGACCCTCGTCCCTGTCTAACCGACTAACCGCACCGCGGCCGCCGGCGACGTCGTCGTCGCGCGGGCAGCCCGACCCGGCGCCGGGCTCCTCGGGCCGTCACGCCGGCCGCGACGCTGCGGCCGTCACCAGGGAGACGCAGCTCCCCGGCGCCGCCGCCCCCGTCGCTAGGGCGGCCGTCGCCACGGCGACCCCGTACCGCACGCGGGGGTTCCAGCTGCCGCCGCGCGCGCCGCGCGTGAGCTCGCCCCTCTTCCACGCCGAGCTGGCGCTGGTCTGTGTGCGACGCGCTCGTGTGCGCGCGTGTCGCCCCCCGGTCGCGTGCCCGTAGTTGCGTGTCGGCGTGTGCCAGCGCTTGTGTGTCTGTAGTTGTGTCGGCGTGTGCCCAGCCTCGTGTGTCAGTGTGTGTCCGCGCTCGTGTGCCCGCGACCGCGTATCGGCATGTGCCGGCGCCCGTGCGCCCGCACTCGTATGCCCACGGTCCTGTGCCCGCGTTCGTGCCGGGATAGGCAACGAGTCGACGGTGACTGGCAGAGTCGCCGCCGTCGAATCCGAGGTGGTTTCAATGCGTAATTTGTACCGGATTTCTAAGAGATTTGCAAGGCGATATCCACGAGATATCCGCGAGATTCGGGGTCACTCGGCAGGCCCGTCAAGCCTCGACGTAAGCCACGTGTGAAGACGCGAAGCATTCTGGGATTGACCAGGTGACCTCCAGTGTGCCTGGGGTTGGCCAGGCGGGTGGGGGGCGCTGTGACGCTTGCACGCTCGGCGCTCGCGCCAAGACCGTCGGCACGCGGGTGCAGCGGCGTGGCTGCGGGTGGGGGGGGGGCATCCCTCAGGCTGGAAGGGGGACCCAGGGGGGGGACCCAGGGGGGGGACCCAGGGGGGGGACCCAGGCACGTTGCGTTCCTTACACCACCAGGGGCCGTGCCACCACCATGTCCAGGGCACCCACGCGGCGATCCGTGATGGGCCCCCCTCACCCCCGCATCCGATGACGACGACGACGATGATGATGACGACGATGACGACGACGACGATGATGATGATGATGATGACGATGACGACGATGATGATGACGATGACGACGACGACGACGACGATGATGATGACGATGATGACGATGACGACGATGACGATGACGACGATGATAATGACGATGATGACAAAGATGACGACGACAACGACGATGATGATGATGACGATGACGACGACGACAACGACGATGATGATGACGATGACGACGATGACGACGATGATGATGATGACGACGATAACGATGATGCCTCCTCCTCGTTACCTTGCGTAGCGTTGCCTCTCCTCGAGCCTGTACTCACGACTAATCCACTAACAACGCTGCAGTAGCTGGTCAGGCCTGGGTCATTGTCGGTGTGGGAGTCGGAGGGGGGCGATGGGGGTGCTCGGTTTTTGTAGAATAAGTTGAGTGTTGTTGTTTATGTGTTTGTTGTTGTTGTTTGGAGGGTTGGGAGGGGGTGGGGCGGCCTCCTTGGGCGCCTGAGCGCGGGCGCCGTGACGGCGAGCGGCCGGCTGCGAACAGCGCTGTGGGCGCCACGAGGCGCCGGTGGCAGCCTCCAGTCGAGAACAAAACTCCCAGCAGGAAACACCGCCCTGCCCCCCCCCCCCAATCCCCCACTGCCCGCCCGTACTACGGCAACTACCGGCGGCGCGAGTTCCAAACGTGTCGATGTGCGCGCGTCACTGCGCGGCGCGTCGCGTGCGCACGCCACGCTCGTGTGCGCGCGGCCGTGTGAGCTCATCACGTGGCCGTGTCCGCTCGTCGTGTCCGCTCGTCGTGTCCGCTCGTCGTGACCGCAGGGTCGTGTCCGCTTGTCGTGACCGCGTGGTTGTGTACGTGTGGTCGTGACCGCGTGGTCGTGTCCACTTGTTGTGTCCGTGTAGGTGGAGCCCACCGAGTCGGAGGCCTTGGAGTCGTCGTCCACCTCGGGGCAGTCCCACGGCTCGACCTCGCAGGCACGCCGGCACCACCAGCACCACCACCAGCAGCACCACCAGCACCACCACCAGCAGCACCACCAGCACCAGCAGCACCAGCAGCACCAGCAGCACCACCACCAGCACCAGCAGAACTACCAGCAGCACCACCAGCACCACTACCAGCACCACCACCAGCACCACCACCAGCAGCACCACTACCAGCACCACCACCAGCAGCACTAGCACCAACACCAGCACCACCACCAGCAGCACCACCACCAGCAGCACCACCAGCACCAGCAGCACCACCAGCAGCACCAGCAGCACCACCACCAGCACCAGCAGCACTACCAGCAGCACCACCAGCACCACTACCAGCACCAGCACCACTACCAGCACCACCAGCAGCACCACCACCAGCAGCACCACCAGCAGCACCACCAGCAACTACCAGTTCTACCAGCACCACCAAACCATCACGACCAGCAGCAATGACAGCACCAGACACTTCCCACTGCTAACACCGGCGCAACCATTAAGAGCAACAGCAGCAGTAGCAGCAGTAGCAGCAGCAGTAGCATCAGTAGCATCAGCAGCAGCAGTAGCAGCAGCAACAGCAGCAGCAGTAGCAGCAGCAGCAGCAGTAGTAGCAGCACCAGCAGCAACAACAGCAGCAGTAACAGCAGCAGTAGCAGCAGCAGCAACAGCAGCACCAGCAGCAACAACAGCAGCAGTAGCAGCAGCAGTAGCAGCAGCAGCAACAACAGCAGTAACAGCAGCTACCTGCAGCGTTAACCGTGAATTCGTGACTCTGTGAATCCGTGACCCTCTGACTCCGTGTGTCCAGGTGAGCGACGGGATCACCCGCCCTCCGTCCGAGTTCGAGAAAACCATCACGGTGAACAAAGGGACGTCCAGCCTCGGTGAGCTGCAGCCGTGGATGCTCGGCCCACTGCTGGCTGAATGCCTCTCCGCTTGCCCTTAGTCTGCGTGTCCTTGAGTGCAGGGCGCGTGCAGAGGAAACAAGAAGATGCTCGGGGTAGTCGGCACTTTGCTTCGTTCATCATTTAGTTTTTTTTCAATGCTTTGCTTTATGTGCCCCCCCCACCTCCCTTTTCAAATGAAAGATTTCACAAAAGATGTCACGCTCTGCTCTCCTCCTTCTTACCCCTTCCCTCTCTCTCTACCCCCTCTCTCCCTACTCCATGTGTATGGTCCCCCTGTGTTATATGTAATATTTGTAAAAAAAAAAAATTTACTACGACAATTGCTGCATCTGCACACACGCACTCACACACTCACACACACACATACGCACGCACGCACTCACGCACTCACACACACACGCACTCACGCGCGCACTCACGCACACATTCACACACGCACTCACGCACACACTCTCACACTCACACACGCACTCACGCTGTTGCCGGCGGCACTGCTGCAGGCATGACGGTGACGGCGGACCCGGAGGGCGCCGGCATGATGGTGCGCAGCGTGATGCACGGCGGGGCGATGGGGCGCGACGGGCGCGTCACGCCAGGCGACGTGCTGGTGGCCGTGAGCGGGGAGCGCGCCGCCGGCCTTGGCAGCGCGCAGGCTCGGGCCCTGCTGCGCAAGCACTCGCTCATCGGGGCGCAGATCGAGTGAGTGAGCGGGCGGGCGGGTGAGCAGGCGGGCGGGTGAGCGGGCGCACGGGCGACTGCATTTAACGACAAAAAGATCCCCGTTCTTTTAGGGCGGTGCTCTTGACGAGCGTGTGCCCGCTTCTCGTTACGTCTTCTACGCTCCGCTTAACTGCTTTTCGCCCTCTGCGTGCGTGTGAGTGCGTGTGAGTGCGTGCGTGCCAGTGCGTGTGTGCGTCGCTACGCAGTAGCACACGTGCGGCAACTCTCCCTCCCACGTGGCGACCGTTGCCTGTTAACCCGGCGGCGACCGTTGCCTGTTAACCCGGCGGCGACCGTTGCCTGTTAACCCGGCGGCGACCGTTGCCTGTTAACCCGGCGGCGACTGTTGCCCGCAATGCCGATGTTCTTGCCGTGCCGCTCACTGTCGCTCCCCTTCCGCCGCCGCCGCCCTCTCCCCTCTCCCCGTGGCCCAGGTGTGATGGGCCCTCCGTGGGGCCCAGGGAGGCCCCTTCCCTAGAGTGAGTACCCCCCCCCCCCCACCTCCTTCTCGTCCCCCTCCCCCTCTGCCCCTTTACCCCCCCCCCCATCATCTGCGCTGCCCCCCTCCCCAAGCCTTTGATTAGTTACCAACAATAACAACAACAATAACGTCAACAATAACGTCACCGACCGCGTTTTATACTGCGCCCGTAAAGTAACACGACACTTAAACGTCCCGTGTTGGCGGGTTGGGGGGGGGGGGTCCCCGTTTTATCGACCTGTGGAGGGATGATGATGATGGTGATCATGATGATGGTGAAAACAACGATCGTTTTCATTTTTGAGTCAATCAAAACGACTAATCGACTAACTAACCGTGGAGCGAGAGAGCGGGCAGGCGTGTCACGTGACCCACCCGATCCCGACCCCTGACGACGCCTGCTGCTGCTGCTGTATATTTGGAGTTTGGTGGTGGGATGGATATTTCTTCTCTCTCCGGGTCCTCTGGTTTTCCCTCTTCCACATTTAGAATCGACATCACGCATTCAGAGTATTTAGCTGCTGTGTTTCACGTGGTGTATTCACGGCGCCGTTTCGCCCCACGCCACGTACAACGACTTCTCTTCTCGTGTCCACGCCGCAGCCTGCTCGCTCCCCCGCCCCCCGCCCCCGCCCCCCCCCCCACCCCACTAACCCCGGCGTCGTGTCGACCGCTGCCGGGCCTCCGCATGCGCCCCGAGCGGCTGGCGCCGGCGCCGCGCTTGCACGGCTCTCACTCTGCCGGAAGCGCCGCCGCCGCCACCACCCACTACCACCCCCACCGCTACCGCTACCACCATCGCTACAACCACTACCACCACTACCACCGCAACCACTACCGCCGTTATCACCACCGCTACTGCCACCGCGACCACCACCACGACCACCGCCAACACTACCACCGCTACCACCATCACTGCTACCACCACCATGACCACCACTACCACCATCACCGCTACCACCACCACGACCACCACTACCACCATCACCGCTACCACCACCACGACCACCACTACTACCGCTTCCACCACCACCGCTACCACCATCACTGCTATCACCACCACAACCACCGCCACCACTACCACCGCTGCCACCACCACGACCACCACTACCACCGCTATCACTACCACCGCTCCCACCACCACCGCTACCACCACCACCACCGCTACCACCATCACCGCTACCACCACCGCTACCACCACCACCGCTACCACCATCACTACTACCACTGCTACCACCACCACCGCTACCACCACCACCGCTACCACCACCGCTACCACCACTACCACCGCTACCACCACCACCACTACCACCACCACCGCTACCACCACCACCACCGCTACCACCACCGCTACCACCATCACTACTACCTGCCCGACGCCCATCTCACTAACACGGCTCGTTGTGTCCTCGCCGTGCCGTCGACGAGCTGCGCGCTGGCGCGAGGATTTGCACTAGCGGGGGTGCCACGCAGCAGCCTGGTAAAGGAGCTGATGGTGCTGCTGATGATGCTGTTGGTGCTGCTGATGCTGCTGATGCTGGTGGTGCTGCTGATGATGCTGGTGCTGGTGGTGCTGCTGATGATGCTGCTGATGCTGGTAGTGCTGCTGATGATGCTGCTGATGCTGCTAGTGCTGGTGGTGCTGCTGATGATGCTGCTGATGCTGATGGTGCTGGTGTTGCTGATGCTGGTGGTGCTGATGGTGCTGGTGTTGCTGATGCTGCTATTGCTGCTGCTGATGGTGGTGCTGCTGATGCTGGTGGTGCTGGTGGTGCTGATGCTGACCCTGCTGGTCTAACGGCAACGTGGGGCGTTTTGTTTGCGGCCGTGCCGCCGTGTCGCTTGTGCCCGGTTTGGCGCCGGCCGTGCAGGCTCACGTTCGTGAGTGCGGGCGACCTGGAGGAGTACCGGGAGAGTCGGCGCGCGCACGCTGGCGCCGCGGCAAGCAGGTGACACGGCTGCCGCTACCTCGTCGTCGTCGCCACCGTCATCATCGTCATCATCGTCATCATCGTCGTCATCGTCGTCATCGTCGTCATCGTCATCATCGTCGTCATCATCACCGTCATCGTCACCATCATCATCATCATCATTGTCATCATCGTCATCATCATCGTCATCATCGTCGTCATCGTCATTATCATCACCGTCATAGTCACCGTCATCATCGTCGTCGTCATCATCGTCACCGTCATCATCATCGTCATCACCGTCATCACCATCATACCTACTATAATCACCCAGGAATGTCTGTCCTTAACGCCCGTGACGTCACTCAATCATTAACAGGTGACGTCCTCCAAATGGATACCCCCCCCCCCCCCCATTAATAATAACTAGCGGCTGACGTCACACGCATTTATGCAATGAATATCACGTGGCGGTTTGCTGTTCGCTTGCGAGTTTCAGATTTACTGCAATACACCCGTCCTTGGATGGGCAAAAGGCGAGTCATTGTCATCGTCATCATCATTGTCATCTTTGTCGTCATCATCATTGTCTATCGTCGTGACCATCATCATCGTCATCGTCCATACCATCAGCTGCTGGCGCTGCTACCGCTGGTGGTGGTGGTGCTGCTGGTGGTGTAGCGGTTAGCGCTACGCTGCGCTACGAACCCGGCGGCCCGAGTTCGATTCCCGCTCGCGACCAACATTATCTGAACCGGTCATGGGCCTCTCCTAGATCGACTCAGCCTCAAATGAGCACCCGGTGCGGTGCGTAAACATCGCCACCGGGAAGACAAAGGCGGCCGGGCGTGGTGCTGGCCACCCGCCCCCTCGTGTGCCACGGTGCCGGCCTTCGTAGGTGCAGCTCGCTTAGCAGCACTTGCCCCGACGGTCCGTCACAGGCTACGCGGGGGACCTTTGTCTTTGTGTGCGTGTGGCGGGAACAGAGAAGCCGATCTGCCGGAGCGAGAAGCGGGCGAGGGGGAGGAGAGCGACGAGCGGGGACCCTCGCAGGTTCACTGGGGGCCCCCCCGCCGGTAAGGATCCCCCCCCCCCACTGTCCCCCCCCACCAATAAAGACCCCTCCTTCCCCCCCACCAATAAGGACCCATCGCCCCCCCCCCCCCCTGCCGGTAAGGACCTCCTCCCCCACCCCCCAACAATGTGACTATGGAATATCATCGAGTCCATGGGCAACGGTCTGTTTAGGCAACACGGGGGGGATCTTTGTCTGCATCCACGTGCGCTCACGTGCACGTGCGTTCACGTCCACGTGCGTGCGCGTGAGCAGGGTGCTGGTGGACCGCGACCCCGGCGGGCGCTCGCTGGGCATCAGCATTGTGGGCGGGCGAGGGATGGGGGCGCGCCTGACGCCGGGCGAGGTGCTGCGGGGGATCTTCATCAAGCACGTGCTGCAGGACAGCTCCGCGTCGCGCCTCGGGGGGCTCAAGGAGGGCGACCGCATCCTGGAGGTGCGGCGGGCGGTCACGGTGATGGTCGCGTGGGTGACGGCGTGGGTGACGGCGTGGGTGACGGTGCGGGTGGTGGTGTGGTTGACGCGTGGGTGACGCGTGGGTGACGTGTGGGTGACGGTGTGGGTGACGGCGTGGGTGACGGTGCGGGTGGTGGGGTGGGTGACGGCGTGGGTGACGGTGCGGGTGGTGGGGTGGGTGACGCGTGGGTGACGGTGCGGGTGGTGGGGTGGGTGACGGCGTGGGTGACGGTGCGGGTGGTGGGGTGGGTGACGCGTGGGTGACGGTGCGGGTGGTGGGGTGGGTGACGGCGTGGGTGACGGTGCGGGTGGTGGGGTGGGTGACGCGTGGGTGACGGTGCGGGTGGTGGGGTGGGTGACGGCGTGGGTGACGGTGCGGGTGGTGGGGTGGGTGACGCGTGGGTGACGGTGCGGGTGGTGGGGTGGGTGACGCGTGGGTGACGGTGCGGGTGGTGGGGTGGGTGACGCGTGGGTGACGGTGCGGGTGGTGGGGTGGGTGACGCGTGGGTGACGGTGCGGGTGGTGGGGTGGGTGACGCGTGGGTGACGGTGCGGGTGGTGGGGTGGGTGACGCGTGGGTGACGGTGCGGGTGGTGGGGTGGGTGATGGCGTGGGTGACGGTGCGGGTGGTGGGGTGGGTGATGGCGTGGGTGACGGTGCGGGTGGTGGGGTGGGTGACGCGTGGGTGACGGTGCGGGTGGTGGGGTGGGTGACGCGTGGGTGACGGGTGTGGGTGATGCGTGGGTGACAGTGTGCGTGACGGTGTGGGTGATGCGTGGGTGATGGTGTGGGTGGTGCGTGGGTTATGCGTGGGTGACGGTATGGGTGGTGCGTGGGTGACGGTGTGGATGGTGCGTGGGTGACGGTGTGGGTGCGTGGATGACGGTGTGGGTGGTGGTGTGGGTGACGGTGTGGGTGACAGTGTGGGTAGTGCGTGGGTGACGGTATGGGTGGTGCGTGGGTGACGGTGTGGATGGTGCGTGGGTGACGGTGTGGGTGCGTGGATGACGGTGTGGGTGGTGGTGTGTGTGACGGGTGGGTGGTGCGTGGGTGACAGTGTGGGTGACGGTGTGGATGACGGTGTGTGTGACGGTGTGGATGGTGCGTGGATGACGGTGTGGGTGACGGTGTGGATGACGGTGTGTGTGACGGTGTGGATGGTGCGTGGATGACGGTGTGGGTGACGGTGTGGATGACGGTGTGTGTGACGGGTGGGTGGTGCGTGGATGACAGTGTGGGTGACGGTGTGGATGACGGTGTGTGTGACGGTGTGGTGGACGGTGTGGGTGACGGTGTGGATGACGGTGTGTGTGACGGGTGGATGGTGCGTGGATGACAGTGTGGGTGACGGTGTGGATGACGGTGTGGGTGGTGGTGTGGATGACGGTGTGTGTGACTGTGTGGGTGACGGCGTGTGTGACTGTGTGGGTGACGCGTGGATGACGGTGTGTGTGACTGTGTGGGTGACGGTGTGGATGACGGTGTGTGTGACTGTGTGGGTGACGCGTGGATGACGGTGTGTGTGACTGTGTGGGTGACGGTGTGGATGACGGCGTGTGTGACGGTGTGGATGGTGCGTGGGTGACGGTGTGGGTGGTGGTGTGGGTGACGGTGTGGGTGACGCGTGGGTGACGGCGTGTGTGACTGTGTGGGTGACGGTGTGGATGACGGTGTGTGTGACGGTGTGGATGGTGCGTGGGTGACGGTGTGGGTGGTGGTGTGGGTGACGGTGTGGGTGACGCGTGGGGGACGGCGTGTGTGACTGTGTGGGTGACGGTGTGGATGACGGTGTGTGTGACTGTGTGGGTGGTGCGTGGGTGACGCGAGGCAGGTGGGTGGTGAGGACCTCCGTGACGCCAGCCACGAGCGGGCGGTGGACGCCATCCGGCGAGCGGTGCACCCCGTCGAGTTCGTGGTGCAGAGCCTCGTGCCCAGAGCCCAGGTGAGGGCCCCCCCCCTCCCCCACACACACAAAGACAAAGATCCCCCGTGTAGCCTTAACAGACTGTTGGGGCAAGTGCTGTTAGCGAGCACCTATGAAGGCCGGAACGGCACACGAGGGGGTGGGTGGCCAGCCCCACGCCCGACCGCCTTTGTCTCCCCAGTGACGATGTTTATTACACACCGCACCAGGTACTCATTTGAGGCTGAGTCGACCTAGGGGAGGCCCAGGACCGGTTCAAATAATGGTGTTGACCGTGAGTGGGAATCGAACCCGGGTCGCCAGGTTCATAGCGCAGCGCGCTAACCGCTCCACACACACACACGGTGACACAGACAAAGCTCCCCCGCGTAGCCTGTAACGGACTTGTCGGGGCAAGCGCCGTTAGCGAGCAGCGAGCGCCTACGAAGGCCGGCACTGTGACACGGGACGGGGGGGGGGGGGGGGTTTGGTGGGTGGCCACCGCACGACACCTGGCCGCCTTTCTTTCCAGTCGTATGTCTGGGAGGGTTACGGACGCGGCATTGTCATCATGACTCCGTTAGAGCGTTCGGTTGATGTTCCGCTGCCCGTAATCGGTGCCACTCATCCTGGGATTCTGCCCTCTTATCATTTCCATCTCGTCCATCCACTCCATCATCTCCTCCATCAGCTCCATCATCATCTCCATCATCATCTCCATCAGCTCCATCATCATCTCCATCATCATCTCCATCATCATCTCCATCATCATTTCCATCATCTCCATCATCTCCATCATCATCTCCATCATCATTTCCATGATCTACTCCATCAGCTCCATCATCATCTCCATCATCTTCTCTATCATCTCCATCATCTCCATCATCTCCATCCACTCCTACATCCACTTCATCCACTCCATCATCTCCTCCATCATCTCCATCATCCTTCGTGCCCTGCTCTCACTCACCACTGCTCACCACATCTCTCTCTCTAGGCCCTGCCTCTCTCCTTCCCGTGCACTTTCCCTCTTCGTCCACCACCACCACCGGCACCACCGCCACCACTGCCGCCACCACCACTGCCGCCTCTGTTCTTTGAGAGTTCCAACAGCCCCCCCATCCCCCACACCCCCCCCCCCCCCATTCCGCTCTGTCTTTCTCTGAATCGTCCCAATGCACGCCCCTAACGCTCGCACCGCAGCGCAAGCAGCCGCGTGTTCCGCACTTTGCCTCGGTCCTTGTTGCTGTGCTGCTAACCCCTTGTTGTTTTGCATGTCCCGTCCGCTCTCTGTTGTTTGGCTGTCCGACTCCCCCCCACCCCACGACCCCCCCTCCCCCCACCTCCCCCCCCCCCACCGTGTGTTCCTCGCTCCTCGCTGCCCTCGACCCCAACCCCCACCCCCCCCCCCTCATCTTCCCCGCACCTTCACGCTCGGTTCACACCCGCCCACTGGTCCGTCCTCGCTCACCCACCGACTCATCCTCCCCCTCACTCGCGCCCGCTCATCCACTCGCCCGTCCTCTCGCCCGTCCTCTCGCCCACCCGCCCGCTCACCCACCCACTCACCCTCCCGCACGCCCACTCACCCGCCCGCTCACCCACTCACCCGCCCGCCCACTCACCCGCCCGCTCACCCGCCCTCTCGCCAACCCGCTCGCCCGCCCGCTCACCCACCCACTCACCCGCTCACCCACTCACCCGCCCACCCACTCACCCGCCCGCCCACTCACCCACCCACTCACCCGCCGCCCACTCACCCGCCCGCCCACTCACCCGCCCGCCCACTCACCCGCCCGCTCACCCACTCACCCGCCCACCCACTCACCCCCGCCCACTCACCCGCCCGCCCACTCACCCACCCACTCACCCGCCCGCCCACTCACTCGCCCGCCCACTCACCCGCCCGCCCACTCACCCGCCCGCTCACCCACCCACTCACCCGCCCGCCCACTCACCCGCCCACTCACTCACCCACCCACTCACCCGCCCGCCCACTCACCCACCCACTCACCCGCCCGCCCACTCACCTGCCCGCCCGTTGGCGTGATCGGTGGGAGCAGCCCACGACGCTCCCGCCACCGGGCCCCCAGCCGCCCGCGCTCCCCGTTCGTCTCACCGTGCGCTAGCGCTCCCAGGGAGTGACTCGCGGGCGCACAAAGGCAAAAGCTCCCAAGAAGAGAGATAGCCTCGTTGGGGCGAGTGCCGTTAGCGACGATAACAGCGACGGCAAACAGCCGCCGTGCCCCACCAAAGTGGCGGTGACATCACCGCGGCGCTCGTGCCAGGCTAGGTGCACTTGGAGGCCGTCGCCGTGAAGTGTCGAAGGCTCTCGCTGGTGGCAGGAGGTCACAGACCCAGGTGGAGGTTAAGGAGGGGGACTGCTTCACGTGCAGGGGCAGCGTTAGGTCTATGAGTAGTGTTGAGTCTATGGGTAGCGGTGTTAGTCTATGGGTAGTGTTGAGTCTATGGGTAGCGGTGTTAGTCTGTGGGTAGTGTTGAGTCTTTGGGTAGCGGTGTTAGTCTATGGGTAGTGTTGAGTCTTTGGGTAGTGTTGAGTCTATGGGCAGTGTTGAGTCTATGTGTAGCAGTGTTAGTCTATGGGCAGTGTTGAGTCTATGGGTAGCGGTGTTAGTCTGTGGCTAGTGTTGAGTCTTTGGGTAGCGGTGTTAGTCTATGGGTAGTGTTGAGTCTTTGGGTAGCGGTGTTAGTCTGTGGCTAGTCTTGAGTCTTTGGGTAGCGGTGTTAGTCTATGGGCAGTGTTGAGTCTATGGGTAGCGGTGTTAGTCTGTGGCTAGTGTTGAGTCTTTGGGTAGCGGTGTTAGTCTATGGGCAGTGTTGAGTCTTTGGGTAGCGGTGTTAGTCTGTGGCTAGTGTTGAGTCTTTGGGTAGCGGTGTTAGTCTGTGGCTAGTGTTGAGTCTTTGGGTAGCGGTGTTAGTCTATGGGTAGCGGTGTTAGTCTATGGGTAGTGTTGAGTCTATGGGTAGTGTTGAGTCTATGGGCAGTGTTGAGTCTATGTGTAGCAGTGTTAGTCTATGGGCAGTGTTGAGTCTATGGGTAGCGGTGTTAGTCTATGGGTAGTGTTGAGTCTTTGGGTAGCAGTGTTAGTCTATGGGTAGTGTTGAGTCTATGGGTAGTGTTGAGTCTATGGGCAGTGTTGAGTCTATGTGTAGCAGTGTTAGTCTATGGGCAGTGTTGAGTCTATGGGTAGCGGTGTTAGTCTATGGGTAGTGTTGAGTCTTTGGGTAGCAGTGTTAGTCTATGGGCAGTGTTGAGTCTATGGGTAGCGGTGTTAGTCTGTGGCTAGTGTTGAGTCTTTGGGTAGCGGTGTTAGTCTATGGGTAGCGGTGTTAGTCTATGGGTAGTGTTGAGTCTATGGGTAGTGTTGAGTCTATGGGCAGTGTTAGTCTATGGGCAGTGTGAGTCTATGAGTAGCAGTGTTAGTCTATAGGCAGCGGTGCTGAGTCTCGTGTTGAAGTTGATTCCAGTGTAGGGGTTGCAAGGAGGGAGAAGGATTGAACAATGGATTGGGCACAGGGAGAAGGCGTGGACAGATGCACTGTGAGTCACAACCGTAGACTTCTCAACGCTACAGAGAAAGAAATAACTTGACGTGTGTGAGTGTTGACGTACTGGTCGCGACGCTGAGCCGCTCCGGTGTCGGCGGACGGTCGCGTCAAATTCCTCGGGCGGAAGCGTCTCCCCACTCGCGCCGAAGTCACGTCCCCCGCTCGCGGCGCGTTGACATTCGCGAACCGCGCGTCGTGAGCCGCCACCGTCGCTACGACGACGGTGATTGTCGTCGTCGTCGTCCATATCAATAAAAAATATAATTTCAAAATGTAACGCTGCTTGCTGCTTGCTGCTGCTGCAGAACCGACGGTCGTTGGAGACCCGGAGTCTGCGGCTGCGGAGGGTTTTTCGTAGCGGGTGGGGTCAGTGGGTGGGGCTCGCGTGGTCGGCCGCGACGTCCGACGTTTCGCTCCACGCGGCGACGGAAGTTTGAGAGCCGAACGAGAGTGGGGGGGGCGGGGGGGGTGGATTGCTCGTGTGCGTGCGTGCACGCGTGCGTGTGTGTATATGTGCGTGGTTTGGTGTGTGCTCGCACGTGCGTGTGTGCGCGCACGTGTGCGTGTGTGTGTGTGCGTGCACGTGGTTGCGTGCGTGTGTATATGTGCGTAGTTTGGTGTGTGCTCGCACGTGCGTGTACGCGCGCGCACGCGTGCGTGCGTGTGTGTGCGTGCTTGGGGGTGGTTCCTCGACCGGCGCGTTGCATTCACGTCCGCGCTGCGTCTGATTTTCACGCCTGCGCTGGGAAAAGTCGCGGCAAAAGTTTGCCGCGCCGCGGCAAGACTGCAGCCTTAAGCCTAGCAACCCTTTCTACCACCTACTAACCCAGGTCAGTTACTAACCCTGCCTCCCCCACCCACTCGCCCACTCACGCACTCACCCACTCACTCACCGTTCACCCTGCCTCACCCACCCAGCCACTCACCCACCCAAACATTGACATCTGTCATTGCCGACACAACCACACTCACGCTCGGCCACGCTCGCCCCGCGCTAGCGCACGCGCAGGGCAGGCGCCGAGCAAGCGACGCACTAACACGCCCCTCCCTCACCCCCCGCACGCGACCTCCTCCTCATCCGGTCTCTGCGAGCCCCCCCCACCCCCCTCCGAAAAGCCGACCGCGACTGCTCGCTTTTTAAGTTTCAGTCCAAAAACCGCCACCGGGTTTGGGAAAAAGGAAAAAACTTACCTTTTACCACCGCCACTACCACCACCTTTACCACCGCCACTACCACCGCCACTTCCACCGCCACTACCACCGCCACTACCACCGCCTCTACCACCGCCACTACCACCGCCACTACCACGGCCACTACTAACGCTAACAAGAACGCTTTCGCCGTCCATTCCGTTGCGTGCGCGCGAACGCCTCCGCTGCTGCCGCCGCCGCCGCTTTGTTCCGGGGCGTCCTCTGCTGCGTCCGACCTCCGACCTCCGCGGCCGCTCGGGGTCGCCGGCGATCGGCCGCGTCGCTTGCCAAGTCGGCGGGTAGCCTAGACGCGCCGCCGCTGCCACCGCCGCCGGCTTCGCCCCCCCCAAAGCCTCCTCCTCCGTCCCTGTACAACCCCTTCCTCTTCCACGCCGCCACCGCCGCTGACCCCCGCCAGCAGGTGAGTCGGCGGGCAGCAGTGGTCAGCGCCGCCCCGCGGTGGCTTGCGACACGTTGACCGCCTCCACTAATTGCCGTCACGGCGGGTCATCGGTCATCCGGCAGCTTTGGCTTGAGGGGGCGGGGCGCCGGATTTTTTTTTATAAAACGCCGGATAATGAATCGCTACGTCACGGTGATTTACAATGAGCTTATTGCACATTATTGCTTGACGTTGTGTTTTTGATGTTTAACGATCGACGGACCGGTTAAAGCCCTTCAAGCGGTCTGCCGGTTTCGCCGGATCGGCCCGGCACTGCCGGATAATGTTGGAAGCAGCCGGATAATCGATGGTCAACTGTGTTGTTGTATTTTATTTGTTTTTATTTTTCCCAGGGAAGGCCCACCGAGCTGCTGTAGAGCTCAGAAGCGACCTGGCCACCACAAATGACGTCAGCTCGACGAAGTGGGCTCATCATCATCACCAATCGCGTGGACGTCTTCATAGCGGCAGCCAAAGCACATCTTTAAACGCGTGGTGACGTCGATTCTAAATGTGAAGGGAGGGTGAAAAAAAACTGAAAAATCCACGCGACCCCGGCGAGAGAGAGACACGCAAACTTCTAATATACAGCAGCCGTCCGGGTCGGGATCGAACCCACGACCTCCTGTATACCCGGCGAGGTAGTTAACATCTCCTAGCCACCACGGCGCTCGCCTCGCCTGATATGGAGGAGGTCGTGGGTTCGATTCCGACCCTGATGACGCCTGCTGCTGTGTATTTGGAGTCTGCGTCTTTCTCTCTCTCTCTCTCCACGTGGCCGTCGTGTGGATTTTCTCCGGGACCCTCCGGTTTTCTCCCTCCACATCTAGAACCGACGTCGCGCGTTCAATAAGCATATTTGACTGCCGCTGTGAAGTCCGCGTGACGACGACGACGATGATGATGAGCCCACTTCGTCGACCTATCGTTTGTGATGGCCAGCCAGGTCGCTCCTGACAAAAGAGCTCTCTCTATCTAGCTCAGTGTGGGCCTTGCGTAGTTTAGTTTTAGCGCCGCTGCCAAGGTGCTCGCTGCGACGGCGCTTAAAGCTTCGCACGCCGGCACGCCGGGCACCTCGAGCCACGCCGAAACAAAAGTTGCTCGGGCCCACGCGACACATTCCGCTCGACACGTTCCGCTCGACACGTTCCGCTCGACGGCCGTGGCCGCGTCTTTGCAGGACGCCGCCGGCGCTCGCGTGGGGTCGGAGGTTGCCGCGACGGGGACGGACGAGGAGGAGGAGGAGGACGAGGGGGAGGGGAGCGGGGAGGGAGGGCGGCACGCGGACTTCCCGCTCGGAGCGCCGCCGACGCCGCCGCCGCCGCAGCAGCGTGAGTCGTCGCTCGGCCTGTGGGGCACAGCAACCACCTCCACTCACCTCGTGGACGTCACTCCCTCCCCTCACGCCCTCCCCTCACTCCCTCCCTTCCCTCTCCTCCCTCCTCTTCCCTCCCCTTCCTTGCCTCCCCTCACCTCCGTCACTCCCTCCCCTCCCTTTCCTCACCTCACTCCCTCCACTCACTCCCCTTCCTTCCCTTCCCACCTCCCCCCCCTCCCTCCCTCCTTTCCCACCTCTTTCCCCTCCCTCACTCCCCTCCCTCCCCTGTCCCACTTACCTCCCTTCCTCTATTCCTTTCTCCCTCCCTCCATTCCACATATTCCTCCTTGCTCCCAGGATCTGCTGCTCCACCATATTAGCTGCGTCATTCTGTTGTTCTCTGTGTGAGTCTATGGGTCTCTGTGTGAGTCTATGGGTCTCTGTGTGAGTCTCTGTGTGAGTCTATGGGTCTCTGTGTGAGTCTATGGGTCTCTGTGTGAGTCTACTATGGGTCTCTGTGTGAGTCTTTTGATCTGTGTAAGTTTGTGAATCTCCGTGTTATTCTGTTGCTCTCTGTGTGAGTCCATGGATCTCTGTGAGTCTACTGCTGTCTGTGTGAGTCTGTGGGTCTCTGTGTGGGGAGTCTATGGGTCTCTGTGTGGTGAGTCTATGGGTCTCTGTGTGGTGAGTCTATGGGTCTCTGTGTGGTGAGTCTATGGGTCTCTGTGTGAGGAGTCTATGGGTCTCTTGTGTGCGAGTCCATGGAGGTCAGAGTAGTTGTGAAAGGCAGAGTTGGCATAGTAGGGGGAGCACAGCTGGTGCGTCTGCCAGTCGTCTCAATCAGTCAACCTCATAGCACCTCTTGCGAGCAGCGAGAGCCTTCGACACCTCACATGACGACCTCAAAGTGCACCTAGCCTGGCACAGGCGCCGTGGTGAGTTGGCGGCCGCTCTGGATTATTCTGCCCCCACCCCCCCATTTGGCGGTGCTCCATCACTAACACCCGCCCGGTGGTGCTGGTGGTGCTGGTGGTGCTGGTGATGCTGGTGATGCTGGTGGTGGTGGTGCTGGTGGTGGTGGTGATGCTGGTGGTGGTGGTGCTGGTGGTGGTGGTGATGCTGGTGGTGGTGCTGCTGCTGGTGGTGATGCTGGTGGTGGTGCTGGTGATGCTGGTGGTGGTGCTGGTGGTGGTGCTGGTGGTGGTGCTGGTGGTGGTGCTGGTGGTGGTGGTGATGGTGCTGGTGGTGGTGCTGGTGGTGGTGCTGCTGCTGTTGATGATGCTGGTGGTGGTGCTGGTGGTGCTGCTGGTGGTGGTGCTGGTGGTGGTGCTGGTGGTGGTGATGGTGCTGGTGGTGGTGCTGGTGGTGGTGCTGCTGCTGTTGGTGATGCTGGTGGTGGTGCTGGTGGTGCTGCTGGTGGTGGTGCTGGTGGTGGTGCTGGTGCTGGTGGTGGCGGTGGTGCTGATGGCGGCCATTCCTGCAGCAGTGCCGGGCGGCGTGGGGGAGCCGGCGTCGTGCGCCATCGTGCCGGGCCTGGAGACGCGCATCGCCATCGCCAAGGGACGCACCGGCCTGGGCCTCAGCATCGTGGGCGGCACCGACACGCTGCTGGTGAGAGACTCGCACGCACGCATGCTCGCCCGCACGCTCGCCCGCACGCACGCTCGTCCGCCTGCCTGCCCGACCGCCTGCCTGCCCGACCGCACACCCGCACCCTCGCTCGCCCGCATACCCGGACACTCGCACACTCACCCACACACTTGCTCACTCACCTACAGAATTGCTCACTCGCAGACTCACCCACCCTCGCTCACTTGGTCATTTGCGCACTCACCCACTCACTCACCCACTCACCCACACACTTGCTCACTCACCTACAGAATTGCTCACTCGCAGACTCACTCACCCTCGCTCACTCGCTCATTCTCGCACTCACTCACCCGCTCACACACTCGCTCACTCACTCAGCCCATGAGCCAAGGAGGGGCTCAGTCGGTATCACCCCGGGGTAGCAAATGCTACCGGAGTCCACCACGGGTAGCGTCCACCCTCACAAGCGGCGTCCACCACTCTCCCGCACCTGTCTCGTCCCCCAGGGAGGCATCATCATCCACGAGGTCTACGAGTCCGGGGCTGCGGCGAAGGACGGACGCCTCTGGGCGGGCGACCAGATCTTGGAGGTTAGGTGACGTGACGGAACTCCGCCTGGCGCTGCTCGTTGTCGCAGAGAGGTTCCCGCGTGGGGGGGGTGGGGGAGGGGGGGTCTGTCCGCTGTGGCAAATGGTATCACCGCATGAATGTTTTAAGTACGTTGAACTTCTTTCGCACCGTACATAGCCAACCGTGCTAATCGGAGGTGTAGTGTTCAGTCTGTGGGCAGTGTTGAGTCTGTGGGCAGTGTTGAGTCTATGGGTAGTGTTGAGTCTGTGGGCAGTGCTGAGTCTATGGGTAGTGTTGAGTCTATGGGCAGTGTTGAGTCTGTGGGCAGTGTTGAGTCTGTGGGTAGTGTTGAGTCTATGGGCAGTGTTGAGTCTGTGGGCAGTGTTGAGTCTATGGTGCAGTGTTGAGTCTGTGGCGCAGTGTTGAGTCTGCGGTGCAGTGTTGAGTCTTTGGGCAGTGTTGAGTCTGTGGTGCAGTGTTGAGTCTGTGGGCAGTGTTGAGTCTATGGTGCAGTGTTGAGTCTGTGGGCAGTGTTGAGTCTGTGGTGCAGTGTTGAGTCTGTGGGCAGTGTTGAGTCTATGGGCAGTGTTGAGTCTATGGGCAGTGTTGAGTCTATGGTGCAGTGTTGAGTCTGTGGGCAGTGTTGAGTCTGTGGTGCAGTGTTGAGTCTGTGGTGCAGTGTTGAGTTTTTGGGCAGTGTTGAGTCTGTGGTGCAGTGTTGAGTCTGTGGGCAGTGTTCAGTATGTGGTGCAGTGTTGAGTCTGTGGGCAGTGTTCAGTCTGTGGGCAGTGTTGAGTCTATGGGCAGTGTTGAGTCTGTGGGCAGTGTTGAGTCTATGGGCATTGTTGAGTCTATGGGCAGTGTTGAGTATATGGTGCAGTGTTCAGTCTGTGGGCAGTGTTCAGTCTGTGGGCAGTGTTGAGTCTATGGGCAGTGTTGAGTCTGTGGGCAGTGTTGAGTCTATGGTGCAGTGTTGAGTCTGTGGGCAGTGTTGAGTCTATGGTGCAGTGTTGAGTCTGTGGGCAGTGTTGAGTTTGTGGGCAGTGTTGAGTCTATGGTGCAGTGCTGAGTCTATGGGCAGTGCTGAGTCTGTGGGCAGTGTTGAGTCTATGGTGCAGTGCTGAGTCTATGGGCAGTGCTGAGTCTATGGGCAGTGTTGAGTCTATGGTGCAGTGCTGAGTCTATGGTGCAGTGCTGAGTCTATGGGCAGTGCTGAGTCTGTGGGCAGTGTTGAGTCTGTGGGCAGTGTTGACTCTATGGTGCAGTGCTGAGTCTATGGTGCAGTGTTGAGTCTGTGGGCAGTGCTGAGTCTATGGGCAGTGCTGAGTCTGTGGGCAGTGTTGAGTCTGTGGGCAGTGTTGACTCTATGGTGCAGTGCTGAGTCTATGGTGCAGTGTTGAGTCTATGGGCAGTGTTGAGTCTATGGGCAGTGTTGAGTCTATGGGTAGTGTTGAGTCTGTGGGCAGTGTTGAGTCTGTGGGCAGTGTTGACTCTATGGTGCAGTGCTGAGTCTATGGGCAGTGCTGAGTCTATGGGCAGTGTTGACTCTATGGTGCAGTGCTGAGTCTATGGGCAGTGTTGAGTCTATGGGCAGTGTTGAGTTTATGGGTAGTGTTGAGTCTGTGGGCAGTGTTGAGTTTGTGGGCAGTGTTGACTCTATGGTGCAGTGCTGAGTCTATGGGCAGTGTTGAGTCTATGGGCAGTGTTGAGTCTATGGGTAGTGTTGAGTCTATGGTGCAGTGTTGAGTCTATGGGTAGTGTTGAGTCTGTGGGCAGTGTTGAGTCTGTGGGCAGTGTTGACTCTATGGTGCAGTGCTGAGTCTGTGGGCAGTGCTGAGTCTATGGGCAGTGTTGACTCTATGGTGCAGTGCTGAGTCTATGGTGCAGTGTTGAGTCTATGGGCAGTGTTGAGTCTATGGGCAGTATGTACCGTATGTTGAACGTCTTTCGCACCGTACGTAGCCAGCCGCGCTAAACGGAGGTGCGGTGAGGGGGGAAGGACACCAAACTGAACGCAACACCGAGCAGTTATAAAGAAACAAGTTCGTCAAGCTCGATGATGATGATTTGAAAGTGCACCGTAGCTCCCAGTGGCTTCTTGACATCGGCAAGGAAGAGAGCGTTCTGGACGGCCGCAGTGCCAGCGCGTCCGAGAGCACCGCGCGGTGATGCGGTGACCGCCGCCTTTGTTCGACGGCCGAGCCAAGAAGCCGTTGCCCACCCCCGCCCCCCCCCCCAGGTGAACGGAATCGACTTGCGTTGCGCGACGCACGAGGAGGCGATCGCGGCGCTGCGCCGCACGCCGGCCACCGTGCGCCTCATCGTGTTCCGGGACGAGGCTCAGGACCCCCCCCCTCGCGACGCGCCGGACGACGACGGCGGGGGGGGCAGCCCCCCCACTGAGCGTACGTGGGGCCCCCCGGAGCCTCGGGTAACGCGGCGAGCAAAGTGGCGGTTCTACTTCACACGTGTGCATTCGTCAAAACATTTCAATGAAATAAAATTTTCTTTTTTATAATGTCGTTATCGCCGTCGCGTCTCCAGACGCGGAATCCCCTCCCAATGGACCACCCAGCCACTCACCCACCCACTCACCCACCAACCCATTCACTCACCCACCCACTCACTCGCCCAACCACCCACTCACCCACCCATCCACCCACTCAACCACCCAGTCATCTAACCACCCACCCGCTTACCACACCGCAGCTCACAACAACGCACTCAGCCGTTCACTCCCCCACCCACCCACCCACTCACTCACTCACCCACTCATCCAACCACCAACCCACTCACCCAACCACCCACCGCTCACCACTCCTCAGCTCACCACACTCACCCATTCACTCACAACACTTCCCGATCTGCTTCTTCCCCCCCACAGGTCGAGTACGAGCATGATCCGCCACGGCAGCCACCACAGCCGCTTCCACAGCAGCAGCTCCCGCTGCAGCAGCAGCAGGGGGGGGAGGTGGCAGACGAAGTGCAGGCCGGAGACGAGGCGCAGGAGGCGGCCGCACCGGCGCCCGCCTCACCGGCGCACCACGGAGACCCCTCCTGGGACGAGCGCAGGTCGGTGTCGCCCCCCCCCCCCACCACCCCGGCCTCGCCAGTGCTCGCCATTGCTCGCTATTGCTCACCGTAGTGACGGCGACTGGGGGTTGGTTTGGTAGGAGGGGGTAGGGGGGGTGCGGTTGGTACGGCAGCCACGGTAGAGAGATGTTAACTACCTCGACTGGTGTACAGGAGGTCGTGGGTTCGATCCCAGCTCTGACGCCTGCTGCTGCTGTGTATTTGGAGTCTGCGTGTCTCTCTCTCCCTGTGGTGAGATGTTAACTACCTCGCCTGGTGTACAGGAGGTCGTGGGTTTGATCCCAGCCCTGACGCCTGCTGCTGCTGTGTATTTGGAGTCTGCGTGTCTCTCTCTCTCTCCCTGTGGTGAGATGTTAACTACCTCGCCTGGTGTACAGGAGGTCGTGGGTTTGATCCCAGCCCTGACGCCTGCTGCTGTGTATTTGGAGTCTGCGTGTCTCTCTCTCTCTCCCCGTGGTGGTCGCGTGGATTTCTGTCCGGGTCCTCCGGTTTTTCCTCTCCACGTTAGGAATCGACGTCACGGCGTTTAGAGTACTCGGCCGCTGCCATACATTGCCGCGTGGTGATGATCGGCCACTTCGTTGTGCAATCGTTTGTGGCAAGGCAACACGGAGGGTCTTTGTCTGTGTGTGCGTGTGTGTGTGTGTGCCGTGCCGGCCTTCATAGGCGCGGCCACTCGCTCACGGCACTTTCCCCGACAGTCCATTAAGGCTACACGGGGGGGGGGCTTTGTGTGTGCCGTGCCGCTGTTCGGTGGAGCGCAGGCCGGGCCAGTGCCGCACCGTGGTTCTTCACCGGGGCCCCGAGGGGCTCGGCTTCAGCATCGTGGGGGGCCGCGGGAGCCCCCACGGAGACCTGCCCATATACGTGCGCAGCATCTTCAGCAAGGTGAGTGTGTGTGCGGGTGTGCGAGTGTGTGTGTGCGGGTGTGCGAGTGTGTGTGTGCGGGTGTGCGAGTGTGTGAGTGCGGGTGTGCGAGTGTGTGCGTGTGGCACAGTAGGGGGCACAGGTGATGCATCGGCCAGTCATCTCAGTCAGTCAACCCATGGCACTTGGGTCTGCCCCGTGACTTCCTGTCGGCACAAGCACCGTGGTGACATCACCGCTACTTAGTGGTGATTGTTGTGTGTGTGCAGTGCCGGCCTTCATAGGTGCTCGCTAACAGCACTTGCCCCAACAGTCTGTTCAGGCTATACGGGGGATCTTTGTCTTTGTGTGCATGTGTGCGCGCTCACAACAATGAGCAAAGCGCCGGGCGGCCAAAACACAGCAAGTTGACGCAGTAGGGGGCACAGGTGGTGCATCTGCCAAACATCTCAAGTCAGTCAACCCCATGGCACCACCTGGGTCTGTCCCGTGACCTCCTGCCAGCGAGCCTTTGACACATCACGTGGCCTCACAGTGCACCTAGCCTGGCACAGGCGCCGTGGTGACGTCACCATCACGTCATGTTGTGTGTGTGTGTATGGGGAGCGGTAGTGTAGCGGTTAGCGCTACGCTGCGATACAAACCTGGCGACCCGGGTTCGATTCCCGCTCACGGCCATCACCAGTGACGATTATCTGAACCGGTCCTGGGCCTCCTTCCCCTTGGTCGACTCAGCCTGAAATGAGTAACCTGGAGACAAAGGCGGCCGGGCGTGCTGCTGGCCACCCACCCCCTCGTGTGGCGTGCCGGCCTTCATAGGTGCTGCTCGCTAACAGCACTTGCCCCGACAGTGTCTTAGTATACAGAGAGCGGCAGCGTAGCGGTTAGCGCGCTGCGCTACGACACCGGCGGCGACTATCCCAGCCGGTGCTGGGGCCTCCCCTCCCCTCTAGGTCGACTCGGCCTCAAATGAGTACCCGGCGCGGTGTGTGTGTGTGTGCGCTAAACATCGCCGCTGGGGAAGACAAAGGCGGCCGGGCTGCGGTGCGCGGCGTGAACCGTGAAAAAACACCGCGCCCTTCGCACATTCCGGGTGCCGAACCCAATGGCACCGCCAACAGCGTCAACTCCGCCTGCCTGCGTCAACGGCTCACTTTACTTTTTCTTGGTTTTTTCAGTAAAGTCACGTAGAAGGGAAGTAATAAAATAATAAAAATAAAACATAATAAAATAATTCTCACGGCGTTTCGGCCACAACGCAAGCAGCCGTCCTCAGGTGAAGAACAGGTCTTTAAATCGAAATTTCACTTTACTTTGTTACAAAAAAAAATCTCCCTTGATGGACGGCGCCCCCCGGTGCCCTCGCCCCCCCCCCCCGCGCCCCCCCTCCCGCGCCCCCCGCACCCGCCCACCCCCGCAGGGAGCGGCGGCTGAGGACGGGCGGCTCCAGCGGGGCGACCAGATCGTGGCGGTGAACGGGGAGGCGCTGGAGGGGCGCACGCACGAGGAGGCGGTGGCCGCCCTGAAGCGTGCGGCGGGCACCATCACGCTGAGCGTGCTGTCCTGACGGACGCGGCGGGGGGGGGGGGGGTCCCGACGGCGGCGGCGGCGGCACAAGAGGGAGGGAAAGACCGCGGCGAATTGTCACGAACAAAACATGCGCGCGCAGATTTCGTTCGCTCTCGGGGACGCGCGGTGGAGAGAGGGCGGGGGGGGGCTGGAGAGTTCCCGGTGATTATCCCTGAGGAGGTCAGTCTCGACGCGGAGGCGGGAGGTCGACGTTATTCCCTGAACGTATTTTTCTTCGGCTCTACTTTCTTTTTTTTCGTCTACTCGGTCGCTCCACGTCCAAAGAAACGCTGAGGTTACGTACAACGCTGCGGGCTGCATCGGGTGGGGAGCGGCGGGGCGGAGGTGGGGCTCCCATTCATTCATTGACGACACACGTATGTACACGTGTGTTGAACTTGTTTCGCACCGTACGTAGCCAACCGTGCTAATTGGAGGAGCAGTGTTGAGTCTGTGGGCAGTGTTGAATCTGTGGGCAGTGTTGAGTCTGTGGTGCAGTGTTGAGTCTGTGAGCAGTGTTGAGTCTGTGGGCAGTGTTGAGTCTATGGGCAGTGTTGAGTCTGTGGTGCAGTGTTGAGTCTGTGGGCAGTGTTGAGTCTATGGGCAGTGTTGAATCTGTGGGCAGTGTTGAGTCTGTGGTGCAGTGTTGAGTCTATGGGCAGTGTTGAGTCTATGGGCAGTGTTGAATCTGTGGGCAGTGTTGAGTCTGTGGTGCAGTGTTGAGTCTGTGGTGCAGTGTTGAGTCTGTGGGCAGTGTTGAGTCTGTGGGCAGTGTTGAGTCTGTGGGCAGTGTTGAATATATGGGCAGTGTTGAGTCTATGGTGCAGTGTTGAGTCTATGGGCAGTGCTGAGTCTGTGGGCAGTGTTGAGTCTGTGGTGCAGTGTTGAGCCTATGGGCAGTGCTGAGTCTATGGGCAGTGCTGAGTCTATGGGCAGTGTTGAGTCTATGGGCAGTGTTGAGTCTATGGGCAGTGTTGAGTCTGTGGTGCAGTGTTGAGTCTGTGGGCAGTGTTGAGTCTATGGGCAGTGTTGAATCTGTGGGCAGTGTTGAGTCTGTGGTGCAGTGTTGAGTCTATGGGCAGTGTTGAGTCTATGGGCAGTGTTGTATCTGTGGGCAGTGTTGAGTCTGTGGTGCAGTGTTGAGTCTGTGGTGCAGTGTTGAGTCTGTGGGCAGTGTTGAGTCTGTGGGCAGTGTTGAGTCTGTGGGCAGTGTTGAATCTATGGGCAGTGTTGAGTCTATGGTGCAGTGTTGAGTCTATGGGCAGTGCTGAGTCTGTGGGCAGTGTTGAGTCTATGGTGCAGTGTTAAGTCTATGGGCAGTGTTGAGTCTATGGGCAGTGTTGAGTCTATGGGCAGTGTTGAGTCTGTGGTGCAGTGTTGAGCCTATGGGCAGTGCTGAGTCTATGGGCAGTGCTGAGTCTATGGGCAGTGTTGAGTCTATGGGCAGTGTTGAGTCTATGGGCAGTGTTGAGTCTGTGGTGCAGTGTTGAGTCTGTGGGCAGTGTTGAGTCTATGGGCAGTGTTGAATCTGTGGGCAGTGTTGAGTCTGTGGTGCAGTATTGAGTCTATGGGCAGTGTTGAGTCTATGGGCAGTGTTGAATCTGTGGGCAGTGTTGAGTCTGTGGTGCAGTGTTGAGTCTGTGGTGCAGTGTTGAGTCTGTGGGCAGTGTTGAGTCTGTGGGCAGTGTTGAGTCTGTGGGCAGTGTTGAATCTATGGGCAGTGTTGAGTCTATGGTGCAGTGTTGAGTCTATGGGCAGTGCTGAGTCTGTGGGCAGTGTTGAGTCTATGGTGCAGTGTTAAGTCTATGGGCAGTGTTGAGTCTATGGGCAGTGTTGAGTCTATGGGCAGTGTTGAGTCTGTGGTGCAGTGTTGAGCCTATGGGCAGTGCTGAGTCTATGGGCAGTGCTGAGTCTATGGGCAGTGTTGAGTCTATGGGCAGTGTTGAGTCTATGGGCAGTGCTGAGTCTATGGTGCAGTGTTGAGTCTATGGGCAGTGCTGAGTCTATGGGCAGTGCTGAGTCTATGGGCAGTGTTGAGTCTATGGACAGTGCTGAGTCTATGGGCAGTGTTGAGTCTATGGGCAGTGCTGAGTCTATGGGCAGTGCTGAGTCTATGGGCAGTGCTGAGTCTATGGTGCAGTGTTGAGTCTATGGGCAGTGCTGAGTCTATGGGCAGTGTTGAGTCTATGGTGCAGTGCTGAGTCTATGGGCAGTGCTGAGTCTATGGGCAGTGTTGAGTCTATGGTGCAGTGCTGAGTCTATGGGCAGTGTTGAGTCTATGGGCAGTGCTGAATCTATGGGCAGTGTTGAGTCTATGGTGCAGTGTTGAGTCCATGGTGCAGTGTTGAGTCTATGGGCAGTATGTACGTATGTTGAACTTCTTTCGCACCGTACGTAGCCAGCCGTGATAATCGGAGGTGGCTTCCGAATGTCGACAAAGAGCGGCGTTCCGGACAGCGCATCTGAGAGCGCCGCGCGGCGCGACGGCCAGAAGCCGCGATGGCGCTTGGCACCAGCTGCGGCGACGTATTTGTCGCTCGCGACGGTGTACACGCACCGCCGTGTCCCCGTGTCCCTGTGTGTACACTCACCGCTGTGTACCTGTGTGTACACTCACCACGTGTCCCCGTGTTCACATATTCCCATGTCTCCATGTCCCCATTGTCCCCATTGTCCCCGCGTGTAGAGATTTGCAGTGTTCCTCATGAATGCAGTGCCGTGTGTTCGTGTCGAGTCGTTAGTGCAGCGTCGCGCGTTCGAGTCGTTAGTTCGTGTCGTTCGTTCGCTTCGTGTATCGTGCGTTCGCTTCACGCGTTCGCGTGTCGTGCGTTCCAGTCGTGTGTTCGTGTCGCGTAGGCAGTGCGATCCATCGGCGGGAACAACGCGAGGCAAATAAAGGTTATGTCGAGTTTAATACTCCCCGTGGATTTTCGCTTCGTTGTTGTGGTGAGTGGGTTGGTGAGTGGGTGAGTGTGTTGTAACCTGCAGTGTGTGGGTGGATTGGTGAGTGGATGGGTGGGTGGGTTGGTGAGTGGATGGGTGGGTTGGTGAGCGAGTGGGTTGGTGGGTGAGTGGGTGGGCGAGTGTGTTGTTGTTGTGACCTACAGTGTCGTGAGTGGATGAATGAGTGGGTGAGTGGATGCGTTGGTGAGTGAGTAGATGATTGGGTGGGCGGGCGAGCGGGCGGGCGGCGTGCGTTGATGGCACACTTGAACTCGCGCTCGTTTGCGAGCCGACGGTTCGCTGATTGTCAAGACCTCCTCCGGTGGTGTGTGCCACCGCCACGTTGGCCACTCTCAGCCACTCTCGACATACCCAGCTCAGCATTTTATTTTATTTTTTTGCGCAGTGCAGAGGCACACCCGGTGTCCCGCTCCCTTCCGCCCCCGCCAGGTCAAGAAGTCAACAGTCTTACATCGTCCACGACAAAAAAACCACAACAACAACAACCGCCTCGACCGCGCAAGCGGGTGGACAAGCGCACGACGCCCACGTGTGCCGCCCCCTTTGGCAAGGTTGCCGACACGAAACGACGGTGGGTTCACTGTTGACGTGACAAGCCCCTGACTGATTGGCTGTGTCGGGTGGCGGCGGGTTTAACGACACACACATTTATATTTACTTGATCCGACCCAATAAAAAAAAGACCTCTATTATGGATAATATTGGTCGCCAAAGCCCTACTACTACTACGACTACGACGACGTGTTAAAACAACAACAACAGCCGGTCCAAAGAATTCACCAAAACCTCCCACAGACACTTTCAACCGCTAAGCTGAGCCCACACACACACACACGCACACACGCACACACGCGCACACACTCACAGACACGTCATACATTTTGCGGTACGTCGTAGTACATGATACGTCGTAGTACGCGGTCCGTCGTAGTACGTGGTACGCCGTAGTACGTGTCTATTACGTCGTAGTACGCGGTACGTCGTATGCGGTACGTCGTAGTACGTGGTACGTCGTAGTACGTGATACGTCGTAGTGTGAGGTACGTCGTAGTATGTGTGTATTACGTCGTAGTGTGCGTCGTGGTCCGTCCAGCAATCAGGGATGCCGCGAAATCAGAAGGACTTCGTGAGCCCCCTTGACACCCGACGTTTCGGGCAACGGCCCTTCTTCAGAGCACATCCGTTGGTAGGCGGAGGGGAGCCGTGGGGGGGGGGGGTTGTGGTGACGGATGGTGGTGGGGGGTTGTGGTGACGGATGGTGGTGGGGGGTTGTGGTGGCGGATGGTGGTGGGGGGTTGTGGTGGGGAATGGTGGTGGAGGGTTGTGGTGGGGGATGGTGGTGGGGGATGGTGGTGGGGGGCGGTGGTGGGGGGCGGTGGTGGGAGGTTGTGGTGGGGGGTTGTGGTGACGGATGGTGGTGGGGGGTTGTGGTGGGGGCTGGTGGTGGGGGATGGCGGTGGGGGCTACTGCAGGATGCCGGCGGCGAGGCGCATCTCGGTGTAGGAGAGCTGGCGATCCTGGTTGAGGTCGAAGCCGAGGAAGCGCTCCCGCGTGGGGGCTCCGTCGCCCAGCTGGCGGCGGACGTCGTCGTAGGTCACGAGGCCGTCGCGGTCCCCGTCGCAGCGGTACAGGAACCACTGCAGGTCTGTTGCCGGGGGAGACAGAGAGAGACGGAGATGCACACAGAGATGCATAGACTCACACAGAGATGCATAGACTCACATAGAGACACACAGAGACACACACAGAGACTCACACAGAGACACATAGACTCACACATAGACTCACACAGAGATGCATAGACTCACATAGAGACACACATAGACTCACACAGAGACTCACACAGAGACACATAGACTCACACAGAGATGCATAGACTCACACAGAGACTCACACAGAGACACATAGACTCACACAGAGACTCACACAGAGACACATAGACTCACATAGAGACACAGACTCACACAGAGACACAGACTCACATAGAGACACACAGAGACACAGACTCACACAGACACACAGACTCACACAGAGACACATAGACTCACATAGAGACCCACAGACTCACACAGAGACTCACACAGAGACACATAGACTCACACAGAGACTCACACAGAGACACATAGACTCACATAGAGACACAGACTCACACAGAGACACAGACTCACATAGAGACACACAGAGACACAGACTCACACAGAGACACAGACTCACACAGAGACTCACACAGAGACACATAGACTCACATAGAGACACATAGACTCACACAGAGACACAGACTCACATAGAGACACACAGAGACACAGACTCACACAGAGACACAGACTCACACAGAGACACATAGACTCACATAGAGACCCACAGACTCACACAGAGACCCATAGACTCACACAGAGACACATAGACTCACATAGAGACCCACAGACTCGCATAGAGACCCATAGACTCGCATAGAGACCCATAGACTCACATAGAGACACATAGACTCACGGAGACAGACTCACACGGAGACCCACAGATTCACACAGAGACCCATAGACTCACACAGAGACACATAGACTCACACAGAGACACAGACTCGCATAGAGACTCACAGACTCACACAGAGACCCATAGACTCACACAGAGACCCATAGACTCACACAGAGACACATACTCACATAGAGACCCGTAGACTCATACAGAGACACATAGACTCACACAGAGACACAGACTCACATAGAGACACACAGAGACACAGACTCACACAGAGACACAGACTCACACAGAGACACAGACTCACATAGAGACCCACAGACTCACACAGAGACCCATAGACTCACACAGAGACACATAGACTCACACAGAGACACATAGACTCACACAGAGACACATACTCACATAGAGACCCGTAGACTCATACAGAGACCCATAGACTCACACAGAGACCCACAGACTGACACAGAGACCCATAGACTCACACAGAGACACATACTCACATAGAGACCCGTAGACTCATACAGAGACACATAGACTCACACAGAGACACAGACTCACATAGAGACCCGTAGACTCATACAGAGACACATAGACTCACACAGAGACACAGACTCACATAGAGACACACAGAGACAGACTCACACAGAGACACAGACTCACACAGAGACCCACAGACTCACACAGAGACCCATAGACTCACACAGAGACACATAGACTCACATAGAGACCCACAGACTCGCATAGAGACCCATAGACTCGCATAGAGACCCATAGACTCACATAGAGACACATAGAGACACATAGACTCACAGAGACAGACTCACACAGAGACCCACAGATTCACACAGAGACCCATAGACTCACATAGAGACACATAGACTCACACAGAGACACAGACTCACACAGAGACCCATAGACTCACACAGAGACACAGACTCACATAGAGACACATAGACTCACACAGAGACACATAGACCCACACAGAGACCCATAGACTCACACAGAGACCCATAGACTCACACAGAGACACAGACTCGCATAGAGACTCACAGACTCACACAGAGACCCATAGACTCACACAGAGACCCATAGACTCACACAGAGACACATAGACTCACACAGAGACACATAGACTCACACAGAGACACATACTCACATAAAGACCCGTAGACTCATACAGAGACCCATAGACTCACACAGAGACCCACAGACTCACACAGAGACCCACAGACTCACACAGAGACCCATAGACTCACACAGAGACACAGACTCGCACAGAGACCCATAGACTCACACAGAGACCCATAGACTCACACAGAGACACATACATAGAGACCCGTAGACTCATACAGAGACACATAGACTCACACAGAGACACATAGACTCACACAGAGACCCACAGACTCACACAGAAGCCCACAGACTCACACAGAGAACCACAGACTCACACAGAGACCCACAGACTCACACAGAGACCCACAGACTCACACAGAGACCCACAGACTCACACAGAGACCCATAGACTCACACAGAGACCCATAGACTCACACACAGACCCATAGACTCACACACCTCCGATTAGCACGGTTGGCTACGTACAGTGCGAAAGAAGTTCAACACACGTGTACGTGAATGAACCAAGAGGACACGGCCCTCACCTCTGAGTGAGACGATCCCCGGCAGGTCAAAGTGAGCGTCGTCATCTTCTGCTTGAGCCGCGCCGTCGACCCAGTCGGCTCTCATCTCTGCGGTTCGACAGACGCACGCACCACGTGCGTTGGCCACGTTACGTCACAGCCACCGCAGTCGCCCAAATCCCACTCCCCCCCCCACCAGCCCCCCATTATAAAGCTGGCAGCAACAACACACAACACACACAACACATACACAGAAAAACACAAAACACATACAACACACTCACACCCCACACACAACATACACAACACATACAACACAGAAAAACACACAACACACTCACAAGACACTCACACCCCACACACAACACAGAAAGACACAACGCACACACAGCACACTCACACCCCACACACAACACACACAACACAAAAACACACAACACACGCACAACACACTCACACCCCACACACAACACATACAACACACAACACACGCACAACACACTCACACCCCACACACAACACATACAACACAGAAAAACACACAACACCCTCACACCCCACACACAACATACAACACAAAAAAACACAACACACGCACACCCCACACACAACACATACAACACAGAAAAACACAACGCACACACAACACATTCACACACCCCACACACAACACAGAAAAACACAACGCACACACAACACACAACACATAGTGGGGGACGATGCCAACCCCAGCCGCAAGCGATGATGAAATTATCGCTTGCAACTTTCATCATCTAGCCGAGACCATGCTACTAAGGGTTTAAATGGGGTCCTGGGTGTACACCCACCACCGGAGTGGAAAAATGGCAGGCGCATCTTATAAGTGATAAGTCGATGGTCAGTGGGCAGATCAGCTCCACGGTAGGTCCTGGTGTCAAGGACATGGGCCCGCATTCGCTGTTCCGTCACTATGTAGTCCAGCAGATGTTCTTGCTTGGACCCGGCATGCATCCATGATGTGTGGATGTGCCGATGCCGGAACAGCATGTTGGTAATTACAAGCCCATGGGCTGCATAAAAATCTAGCAGCCTCCTACCGTTGTTATTGAGCTGATCTGGTCCATGCCTTCCAATTAATCCAGAACAGGTGACAGCATCATGACCAACTCGGGCATTGAAGTCACCCAACAAGATGACTCTATCCCGAGGGGCCACTTTAGCTAGCACCTGTGGCAGGAGGTCATAGAAGGCATCTGACTCATCGGCATTGCCTGCATCCCTCTTCAGTGGGGGCATAAGTAACCATGACCACCACTCCTCGCCTCTGGTTGATGGGAAGGCGAGCCCAAAGTAGCCTGGGGCTTACAACTTCCCACACCTCACCGTCATGCTCCCACGCCCCCTTCATTCTTTTGTTCAGAAGAAGAGCCACACCCTGTTGTTTGGCAGTCTCCTGCCCCGAGTATAGGACTGTCCACCCCTCATGGTGGCAGGAGCCAGTGCCGGTCCACTGGACCTGAATACTACAGAGATCCAGGCGGTACCAGTCCAGCTCCCAACAGAGGAGTGGCAGCCTCTCCTCCGCAGTGAGCATTCGAACATTCCACGTGGCCACACGTAGTTGTTTTTTGTTGTTTCTGGAGGAGCCCCGAGGGTAAAGTTTCAGTCTCCTGGCGCCGCCAATTGGGGTTTGGCCAGGAGACATCATAGACGCCTGTCCCCCCGGGGCCTCCGGCACAAGCTTATTAATTCAATGTTGTGGTCGTGATTTAGTGGTAATTGAAGGTGGAGGGGTTACCAGCCCCTCGCACCCATCCAGAGCCACCATTTAGCCACTGTAGTGGTCACAGATGCCATGAGGGGACAGGGCCAATCGGAATTGGCCCTCCCCCCACAGCGTTGCCCGTCCGGCACCACGAGGAGGTAGGGGGTTGTTTTGCACACAACAACACACGGTGACACACAACAACCGACACCGCCCCACCATACGCACCACCACCGCCACAAGAACAACACAACAACACAACAACAACACAAACAACAACACAACACAGACAACAACACACGGCGGGGGAAGCGTCGCCACTCAGCTGTCACAGCCGCTCGTGGGCCCGTCGCTCCGCGTCTCCGAGAGTTCGCGTCCGCGCTCGTCCGTGCACCAGCACTCGGCGCGCCCGCGCGAGCACTGCGTCGCGCCGTAGCGCCCCGAGCCGTCGCAGCTCGGCACGAACGCGCCGGGCGCCAGCAGGCCCCGCCGCAGGGCCCGCTGGGCTCCCAGCAGGACCTCCGCGCAGCTCGGCGGCTCCTCCTCCTCCTGCTGCTCATCGTCCGCCACCACATCGTCCTCCTCGTCAGCCACGGTCGTCCGGAGCGTCGTCCCGACCGTCGTCGTCGTCGCGGCGGGCGCCGTCGTCGTCGTCGGTGCCGCGTCCTGGCCGGGCCCGGGGAGTCCGCCGCCGCCGCCTGCCCCGCCCCGTGGTAGCGCCCCGGCGGGGTGAGCCTCCATCCACTGCTTGCCCAGGATCCTCTGCAGCACGGCCTGAATGCCCGCACGGTCCTCCTCGTCCTCCTCCTCGTCGTCGCCGTGGTCGTGGTCGCCGCCTTCCGCCGCGTCCTCGCTCATCCCGGGAACGTCGCCCAGTTTCACTTCGATAACCTCGTGCGGCCTCCCCTCCTCCTCCTCCTCCTCCTCTTCCTCCTCCTCTTCCTCCTCCACCTCCTTCTCGGCATCCTTCACCTCTTGCTCAGTCTCAAACACCTCCTCCACCTGACCGCCCTCTTCCTCCGAGGAGGAGCCGAAGCCCATCCCCAGCCGCACCTTGGTGAGCACCCCCTGGTTGCGAGCCGCTTCCGACTCCCTGGACGTCCAACCCGCCGGTCGATCTTCTTCATCCTCTTCCGACGACGACGACGACGCCGACGACGAAGACGACGATGCAAGGCCCTGTAGGAAGGGGGGGGGGAGTGGAGGGGGAGAGGGGGGAAGTCATCGATCCACGCCGGGTTTTGCAGAAACGGCTCGAGTCAAGCGGAATGTCGAACGCGGAGTCTCGCGCTCGCCATTGCTACTCTGCAATATTATTTCAGTGTTTATTGTCCTCGTTATTATCTAGCCACGGTGGCTAGGAGATGTTGACTACCTCGTCTGGTGTACAGGAGGTCGTGCGCTCGATCCCGACCCCTTACGACGCCTGCTGCTGTATATTTGGAGTTTGCGTGTCTCTCTCTCTCATCATCATCACGGTGGCTAGGAGATGTTGACTACCTCGCCTGGTGTACAGGAGGTCGTGGGTTCGATCCCAACCCCTGACGACGCCTGCTGCTGTATATTTGGAGTTTGCGTGTCTCTCTCTCTCATCATCATCATCACGGTGGCTAGGAGATGTTAACTACCTCGCCTGGTATACAGGAGGTCGTGGGCTCGATCCCGACCCTGACGACGCCTGCTGCTGCTGTAGATTTGGAGTCTTCCTCTCTCTCTCTCTCCCCCGTGGTGGTCACTGCGTGGACTTTTCTCCGGAGTCCTTCGGTTTTTCTCCCTCCACATTTCGAATCGACAGAACGCGTTCAGAGCTATTCGGCATTTACACGTGACGACGACGACGACGACGATGATGATGACAACCGCTTTGGAATACGTCCAATTTGGTATACGTCGTGTTTTGACGAGAGAAAAAATTGTCTTGGGATACGACGTCTTGCTTGGGATACGTCGCGCTTGCTAGAACTTGTATGGGTCGGGATGAGTCACCGCGTCTACCCCGTTCACGACTCCTCACCTTCCTCACCACCATCCTCGACGGCTTTCAACTCCTCTCAGCAAGCTAAAGTGGCGTTAAATTTGTATTTTATTACAATTTATTTCAATTTATTTTTGCATTTATTTGAATTTATGTATGCATTTTAGTAATAAATAGTGTCTAAATAATTTTATACAACCCCATTCATGTATAATATTCCATATAAAATATAATCTCTTATACTCTGGAACGGATTATTTCCTTTCCCGGTATTTCTTATGGGAGAAATTCGTTTGGTAAACGTCATTTTCTGCAAAGTCCGACCTTCTGGAACGAATTAGCGACGTATACCGAGGTGCCACTGTACAGTGATAGCTGATTTGAAGCGTTCGTGACTGCAGGACTCCATCCTCTTTGGTTCTTTCGGTAAAGTCACGTGGGTAGAAAATCGAACGGATCGCGACGTTCCGGAGTGTGATAGCTCGAGAGCCGGATAGCCTCACCGAGTCTCGAGACTCGTCTCCAGGAGGGTCCCGCCAGGTTTTCGCAGTGCGCTAACCACTGCGCCGCCGCTCCCCATAACACGAGGTTGGGGGGGTTGTGGGGGGAGGGATGTGAGGGGGGGTTGGGGGGGGAGGGATGGGGGGGGTTGGGGGGGGAGGGATGGGGGGGGGTTGGGGGGAGGGAGGGGTTGGGGGGGAGGGATGTGAGGGGGGATTGGGGGGGGAGGGATGTGAGGGGGGGTTGGGGGGGGAGGGATGGGGGGGGGGGGTTGGGGGGAGGGAGGGGTTGGGGGGGGAGGGTTGTGAGGGGGGGTTGAGGGGGGAGGGGAGGGATGGGGGAGAGGGGAGGGATGTGGGGGTTGGGGGGAGGGATTGGGGGGTTGAGGGAGGGTGGAGAGGGATGTGGGGGGGGGGTTGGGGGGAGGATGGAGGGGGTTGGAGGGAGGGGTTGGGGGGATGGATGGGGGGGTTTGGGGGGAGGGTGGATAGGGATGGCGGGGGGGTGATGGATTGAGTAATCGCCCAACTTTTCGGCGATATTTTCTTCTCGTCAACTCGCGAGGGCTCTCACCGCTGCTGCACCGGCGCGTGACGTGACGCGCGGCGCCTGCGTCTCTCGCTCCTCCTCGGGCCGGCGAACCGGTTTCTTGCGTCATACAAAGCCAAAGCTCCCCCCCCCCCCGGTATAGCCTCAACAGACTTTCGGGGCAAGTGCTGCTGAGAACTTGCCCCGCAACAGCAACAACAACAACGACGACGACAACAACAACAACGACAGCAACAACAACAACGACGACAACAACGACGGCCGCCGTTCGCCAGTGAGTGTGCGGGGAAGTCACCGCGGCGCGCGTGCCAGGCTAGGTGCGCTTTTGAGGCCACGTGAACTTGCCCACGCAAAGACAAAGATCCCCCGTGTAGCCTCAACAGGCTGTCGGGGCAAGTGCTGTTAGCGAGCAGCACCTATGAAGGCCGGCACGGCACACGAGGGGGTGGGTGGCCAGCACCACGCCCGGCCGCCTTTGTCTCCCCAGTGGCGACGTTCACTACACACCGCACCAGGTGCTCATTTGAGGCTGAGTCGACCTAGGGGAGGCGGCCCAGAACCGGTTCAGATAATCGTCACTGGGTGTTGGTGACCGTGAGCGGAAATCGAACTCGGGTCGCCAGGTTCGTAGCGCAGCGCTAACCGCAAGACCACTACCCCACTTACACATACACACAGGTACACACACACACAGGTAGATACACACAGGTACACACATACACAGGTACACACACACACAGGTACACACAGGTACACACACACACAGGTACACACACAGGTACACACATACACAGGTAGATACACACAGGTACACACATACACAGGTACACACACACACAGGTACACACAGGTACACACACACACAGGTACACACACAGGTACACACACAGGTACACACACACACAGGTACACACACACAGGTACACACACAGGTACACACACACACAGGTACACACACACAGGTACACAACACCACAGGTATACACACACAGGTACGCACACACAGGTACGCACACACAGGTACACACACACAGGTACATACACACACAGATACACACAGGTACATACACACACAGGTACACACACAGGTACACACACACAGGTACACACACAGGGTACATACACACACAGGTACACACACACAGGTACACACACACAGGTACACACACAGGTACACACACACAGGGTACATACACACACAGGGTACATACACACACAGGTACACACACACAGGTACACACACACAGGTACACACACACACACAGGTACACACACACACACAGGTACACACACACAGGTACACACACACACACACAGGTAGACACGTGTGCGATTTCACACCACTGATTGGTCACCTGACTCCGACTCCCTCCCACATGGGGAATATCCCAAGCATCGCGTGGGTCCCCGACCCCCATTACCCCCTACCCCCTTACCCCCTACCCCCCTACCCCCTTACCCCCTACCCCCTTACCCCCTACCCCCTTACCCCCTACCCCATACCCACTCGGGGCAAACAAAACGAACACGGCCTCACCACCACCACCACCCACCCACCGCGACACAACAGCTGCGGCAGCGCCGTGGGGGGCGCGTGGGGGGCCCTGCCACGGTGACGGTGCCGGCTGGGCCGGGATGGTCGCCGTGTGGCCCCGGGGAGAGGAGCCGGCGCCTCCGAGATGCCGAGTTCGGTGTTCCAGGACTCCAGAGGTTCGCTGCTGCCGGCGAATAAACCGGAACCCCCCCCCCCCCCCGCCTTAACCCAAAACATAGTTCCTGTTTGGGGCCCCCCTAATGGGGTAGCAGCACCATCGCTGCCACCACCTCCGCCACCGCCGCCGCTACTGCCACCACCGACGCCACCACCGCCACCACCGCCGGCACCATCGCCGCCACTACCGCCACCACCGCCACCATCGCCGCCACCACCGCCGCTGCCGCCACCACCGCTGCCGTTAGGGTGGAGCGGTCATCTCACCTGGGATGGAGTGGTGGTGGTTACGGTGGCGGTGGTCGACCCCGAGTCCGCTCCGGGGCTCGCCGAGGTTCCAGACTCGGCGGAGTTCCCCGCGAGGGAGTCCACGGCGGACTCCACGGGGGAGTCCGATGGGAAGTCCACGGGGGCGGAGTCCACGGGGGAGTCCACGGGGGAGTCCGATGGGAAGTCCACGGGGGCGGAGTCCACGGGGGAGTCCGATGGGAAGTCCACGGGGGCGGAGTCCACGGGGGAGTCCGATGGGAAGTCCACGGGGGCGGAGTCCACGGGGGAGTCCGATGGGAAGTCCATGGGGGAGTCCACGGAGAACTCCACGGCGGAGTCACCGGCGGAGTCACCGGGGGAGTCGACCGGGGCGGACTCCACGGGGGAGTCCGATGGGAAGTCCACGGCGGAGTCTCCGGCGGAGTCCACGGGGGAGTCCACGGAGAAGTCCACGGGGGAGTCTGCGGGGACGTCCGCGTGCATCTTGGGAGCGGCGAGGGCGTCGTTGATGCGCTTGCCGAGTTGCTCCAACGTCTCCCCCACGGCCTCCTCACGCTCGGCAGCCTGCCAGCAGCGGGGGGGGGGGGGGGGGACAGGAGGAGGGGGTGGACACGAGGAGGGGGTGGACACGAGGAGGGGGTGGACACGAGGAGGGGGTGGACACGAGGAGGGGGTGGGGGTGGACACGAGGAGGGGGTGGACAGGAGGAGGGGGTGGACAGGAGGAGGGAGTGGACACGAGTGGGGGGTGGGGGTGGACACGAGGAGGGGGTGGGGGTGGACACGAGGCGGGGGTGGACACGAGTTGGGAGTGGGGGTGGACACGAGTGGGGGGTGGACACGAGGAGGGGATGGACACGAGGAGGGGGTGTTTATCGCCGTGAGCTCATCAGGAGCGGCGGCGCATTGGGAGGGTGTCACGGGGTACGGGGAGGGTGCTCACTCGGCCACTGGGCCTGCTGGCGCGTGCGTCGGTCATCCCAGAGGAGGACGAGGGGGGGGTGGAGGGGGGGAGGGGGAGGGAGGGGGGGAGGGGGAGGGGGGGTGGGGGCGATGGCGGGGGAGGGGGGGCGGGGCTCGCCTGCTGGAGGTGGTCGCTGAGCTGCTGCTGGAGGTCGACCAGCTGCTGCTGCAGAGCCTCGTTGTGCACGCGGATCTCGTCCATGCCCGGAGTGAGGGTTCGCACCTCCTGCACAACACGTCACACCACGTCACACCACGTCACGGCACCGTCACAACACCGTCACAACACGTCACACCACGTCACAAGTCACACCACAGTCACAACACGTTACACCACGTCACACCACGTCACAGCACCGTCACAACACCGTCACACCACGTTACACCACGTCACAAGTCACACCACAGTCACAACACGTTACACCACGTCACACCACAGTCACGTTACGCCACGTCACAACACGTCACAACACGTCACGGCACCGTCATACCAACGTCACACCACGTCACGTGTCATCAAGGCGGTGCAACTGCACCGGGACGTTGGAGAGCTACGACGAACTGGGGGTGGGGGGCAGGCGGGGTAGGGGGGGTGGGGGTAGGGGGGGTGGGGGTAGGGGGGGATAGGGGGGTGGGGGGGGAGTAGAAGGGGTGGGGGTAGGGGCGGTTAGGGGGGTGGGGGGGAGTAGAAGGGGTGGGGGTAGGGGGGGTTAGGGGGGGTGGGGAGTAAGGTGGAACTAGGGGGTAGGGGGGTTAGGGGGTAGGTGGGGGTGGGGCTAGGGGGGTTAGGGGGTGGCGAGTAAGGGGGGGGGGCTAGGGGGGTTAGGGGGGTGGCGAGTAAGGGGGGGGCTAGGGGGGTTAAGGGGGTAAGGGGAGTAAGGTGGGGGGGGGGGGGGTCTGGGGGGGGGGGTGCCGCTGACCTCCTGCATCTCGGTGACGATGTCGGGCAGCTCTGCGAGCCGCGCGGCCTGCTGGGAGTTCTCCTCCAGGCGCGCCACCACCTCGCTCAGCCTGGCCAGCTGCACGCACGCGGGCACAGGCAAAGGTCCCCCGCGTAGCCTTCACGGGCTGGAGGGGCAAGTGCTGTTAGCGAGCAGCAGCACCTGCGAAGGCTACCGGCACCGTGGCACGCGAGGGGGTGGATGGCCAGCACCGCGCCCGGCCGCCTTTGTCTCCCCGGTGGCGACGTTTACCACACACCGCAACGGGTACTCGTTTGAGGCTGAGTCGACCTAGGGGAGGCGGCCCAGGACCGGGTCAGATAATCGTCACACACACTTGCGGTGTCTCAAGACGTTCAGCTTTGTTATCGACCGTAAGATCCGCGCCAACCTGCTCACTCACTTACTTCATCCATCACTCACTCACTTTATCCATCACTCACTCACTCGCTCGCTCGCTCACTTCATTCATCACTCACTCTCACGCTCGCTCACTTTATCCATCACTCACTCGCTCACTTCATCCATCACTCACTCTCACGCTCGCTCGCTCACTTTATCCATCACTCACTCACTCTCACGCTCGCTCGCTCGCTCACTTCATTCATCACTCACTCTCACGCTCGCTCGCTCACTTTATCCATCACTCACTCGCTCACTTCATCCATCACTCACTCACTCTCACGCTCGCTCGCTCACTTTATCCATCACTCACTCTCACGCTCGCTCACTCGCTCACTTCATCCACCACTCACTCTCACGCTCGCTCGCTCGCTCACTTTATCCATCACTCACTCTCACGCTCGCTCACTCGCTCACTTCATCCACCACTCACTCTCACGCTCGCTCGCTCACTTCATCCACCACTCACTCTCACGCTCGCTCACTCGCTCACTTCATCCACCACTCACTCTCACGCTCGCTCACTCGCTCACTTCATCCACCACTCACTCTCACGCTCGCTCGCTCACTTCATCCATCACTCACTCTCACGCTCGCTCACTCGCTCACTTCATCCACCACTCACTCTCACGCTCGCTCACTCGCTCACTTCATCCACCACTCACTCTCACGCTCGCTCACTCGCTCACTTCATCCATCACTCGCTCTCACGCTCGCTCACTCGCTCACTTCATCCATCACTCACTCTCACGCTCGCTCGCTCACTTTATCCATCACTCACTCGCTCACTTCATCCATCACTCACTCGCTCACTTCATCCACCACTCGCTCTCACGCTCGCTCGCTCGCTCACTTCATCCACCACTCGCTCTCACGCTCGCTCACTCGCTCACTTCATCCATCACTCGCTCTCACGCTCGCTCACTCGCTCACTTCATCCACCACTCACTCTCACGCTCGCTCACTCGCTTCATCCATCACTCACTCGCTCACTTCATCCACCACTCACTCTCACGCTCGCTCGCTCACTTTATCCATCACTCACTCTCACGCTCGCTCACTCGCTTCATCCATCACTCACTCGCTCACTTCATCCACCACTCACTCTCACGCTCGCTCGCTCACTTTATCCATCACTCACTCTCACGCTCGCTCGCTCACTTTATCCATCACTCACTCGCTCACTTCATCCATCACTCACTCGCTCACTTCATCCATCACTCACTCTCACGCTCGCTCACTCACTTTATCCATCACTCGCTCGCTGACTCGCTCGCTCACTTCATCCATCACTCGCTCACTCACTCACTCACTCGCCCGCTCACCCACTTCATCCATCACTCGCTCGCTGACTCGCTCGCTCACTTCATCCATCACTCGCTCACTCACTCGCCCGCTCACCCACTTCATCCATCACTCGCTCGCTGACTCGCTCGCTCACTTCATCCATCACTCTCTCACTCACTCGCCCGCTCACCCACTTCATCCATCACTCGCTCGCTGACTCGCTCGCTCACTTCATCCATCACTCACTCACTCACTCGCCCGCTCACCCACTTCATCCATCACTCGCTCTCTCACACTCACTCACTCGCTCGCTCACTTCATCACTCGCTTGCACTCGCTCACTCGCCCGCTCATAGCACTCGCCCGCTTATCCGGTTGTACAAGAACGGCAAATTAACTTATGGGTTTATTTATTTTGTTAAACCGCCCCAGGAAAACACAACCCACACACACATACACCCCCCCCACACACACACCACACACATACACCCCCCCCACACACACCACGCACATACACCCCACACACACACCAACGGGTGGCTGACTGAGTGACTGAGTGGCTGACTGACTGAGTGACTGGCTGAGTGGCTGACCGACTGAGTGACTAAGTGACTTGACTGAGTGACTGACTGACTGAGTGCTTGACTGACTGACTGACTGAGTGACTGACTGAGTGAGTGACTGACTGACCGACTGACTGACCGACTGACTGACTGACGTGACTGAGACCAGGTTGCACTCCGAGTCACGGGTGAACTCTTTTACCGCACCGCGGCGCTCGCGGGCTCATCCAGCAGTGGACAGGTCGTGGCTGGTGACGGCGGCACGAACCTGGACACTGAGCACGCTGGGCGGTGGCGGCGGTGGCGGCGGCGGCGGCGGCAGCGGCGTCTCATCTCGACCGTACAGCATGCCCCCGTCACTGATCAGCACTGTTACAGAGGCACACAACACACACACACACAGACACACACACACAGTACACAGACACACACAGACACACACACGCACACACACAGACACACACACACAGACACACATTACACACACACACGGACACACACAAAGACACAGTACACACACACGGCACACACACACACACAGTACACACGGATAGACACACACACAGACACACAGACACACATTACACACACACGGACACAGACACACACAGTACACACGGACAAACACACACACAACACGCACACACACGCCAAAGACAAAGCTCGCCCGTGTAGCCTTAGCAGACGGCTGGGGCAAGTGCTGTTGGCGAGGAACAGCAGCGCCCCAGGGACCGCCTTTGTCTCCCTCGCGGCGAGGTTCACACCGCGGTCCAAGGTGGTTTTGACCGACACGTTCATTTAATAATTATTATCGAACGAACAAATGAGCGAACGAATGAGGAAACGAAGGAATGAGTCAACGAATGAGTAAACGAACGAATGAGTAAACGAATGAGTAAACGAATGAATGAGTAAATGAACGAATAATGAAACGAACGAGTAAACGAATGAGTAAACGAACGAATGAGTAAACGAATGAATGAGTAAATGAACGAATAATGAAACGAACGAATGAGTAAACGAACGAATGAGTAAACGAACGAATGAGTAAACGAACAAATGAGTAAATGAACGAATGAGGAAACGAATGATGAACCAAGAGGTGCCACCGCACACATCACGATCAATGCCACCATCAAACGTTTGCCCCACGAAGTGGCCGGTGACGTCACCACGGCGCCTGTGCCAGGCCAGGTGCACTTTGAGGCCTTCACGTGAAGTGCCGAAGGCTCTCGCCGCCGACAGAAGGAGGTCTCGGCACGGACCCAGCGGGTGCCGCGCGAGTCGGCTGACTGAGATGGCCGGCAGATGCTACCAGCAGCTGTACCCTACTACTGTGCCGACTTGCTGCGTTTTATCCGCCCGGCGCTCCACCCGTTGTTGTGAGAGCAGCGTCGCTCCCCCGCCCTCCGCTCGCGTCGGAGGGGCGACTGCCTCCAACTGCCCAGCAGCTGCGGCCTTCATGAGCAGAGGTCGCAAACGGGTTTTGATTCCTTTCCCGTACCCGTACCCGGCCGCACCAGGGTCGCAAACGGGTACCCGTACCCGGCCGTACCCGTACCCGGCCACGGGTAGGGTACGGGTATCGGGTACCTGATTGCGACCTCTGGGATGAAGCCATGTTGCAGGCGCGGGTGGGTTGATTCTAGGAACTTGAATTGTGAGAAGAGACAAGACGTTGGGAAATGAGTGACAAACGGTGACTCACCAGTGACTCACGGTCTACCCGTACCCGGCCGCACCAGGGTCGCAAACGGCTACCTGTACCCGGCCGGGTACGGGTAGCCGGGTATCGGGTAGGGTACGGGTATCGGGTACCCGGTTGCGACCTCTGTTCACGAGGCACCACCGCCACCACAACCACCCACCGTGCCAAGCGATCGAACGTCACGACACGTGGCCGGTGACGTCACAACACGTGGCCAACGACGTCACAACGCGGTCCACGCTTCGAGGACGGCGGCCTGGGGCCGTGTCGCCGCTCTCGCTCGAATGTTGTTGCCGCTATTTATAAACTGTCTCGTTGGCGGCGCGCCCTCCCGGCCCTCAGGGCGCGCTGCCAAGTTCAACAAAAGCGGCGTCACGGACGGAGCGACGAGGCCGGGGGCAGAGAGGCGCTGGAGAGTGAGCAGCGGAGATCACGGCCAGCGCCACCACCACACCCACCGAGCCAAGCGATCGAACGCGCGGCCGGTGACGTCACAACACGTGGCGGGCAACGTCATAACACATGGCCGGTGACGTCACAACACGTGGCCGGTGAACAACCGCCCACATCGTTATCACCGCCGCCGCCACCACCCCCACCACCACCCCCACCATCACCCCCACCCCCCCCATCCCCCCCACCACCCCCCACCACCACCACCCCCCCCCACCACCACCCCCACCACCACCACCCCCCCACCACCCCCACCACCCCCCCCACCGACCTCGCTCGTAGTGTCTGTCGCTCTGCGCCTCGTGGAGTCTCTCGATCTCGTGGCGCAGCACGAGGTGCGAGGCGGCGAGGGCGGCCGCCACGGCGAGCACCGCCGACAGCTGCAGGGCCACGCAGGCCCAGCCAGGCCCACCGCCACAGCCGCTCCCACAGCCGTGGGGCCTGCACAGGGGAGAAGACAAGACATCTCCATGGGTCTCTGTGAGTCTCTGTGTATCTCTATGGGTCTCTGTGAGTCTGTGTGGGTCTATGACAGCTGCAGGGCCACGCAGGCCCACCGCCACAGCCACTCCGACACCCGTGGGGCCTGGGGAGGGGAGAAGACGAGACATCTCCATGGGTCTCTGTGAGTCTCTGTGTATCTCTGTGAGTCTCTGTGGGTCTATGACAGCTGCAGGGCCACGCAGGCCCAGCCAGGGCCGCCGCCACAGCCGCTCCGACAGCCGTGGGGCCTGCACAGGGGAGAAGACGAGACGTCTCCATGGGTCTCTGTGAGTCTCTGTGTATCTCTATGGGTCTCTGTGGGTCTCTGTGGGTCTCTATGAGTCTCTATGAGTCTATGTATCTCTATGGGTCTCTATGAGTCTCTATGGGTCTCTATGTATCTCTATGGGTCTCTATGTGTCTATGTATCTATATGTATCTCTATGGGTCTGTAAGTCTCTGTGTATCTCTATGTATCTCTATGGGTCTCTATGAGTCTCTATGAGTCTATGTATCTCTATGGGTCTCTATGGGTCTATGTATCTCTATGTATCTCTATGGGTCTGTAAGTCTCTGTGTATCTCTATGTATCTCTATGGGTTTCTATGAGTCGATGTATCTCTATGAGTCTCCGTGTGTCTGTGTGGGTCTGTATGAGTCTCTATGTATCTCTATTGGTCTCTATGGGTCTCTATGTATCTCCATGGGTCTCTATGAGTTTATATGTCGCTATGCATCTCTATGAGTCCCCGTGGGTCTCTATGAATCTCTACGTATTCTATGGATCTACTTGGGTCTCTATAAGTGTCTGTGCAGGTCTGTGTATCTCTATGGGTCTCTATGGGCCTCTATGTGTCTGTATGGGTCTCTGTGGGTCTCTATGAGTCTCCATGTATCTCTACGAGACTCTATGTAATGCTGCACCAAGCGTGCACGCGCACGGGCAAAGAACAAGACAAAGATCCCCCGTGTAGCCTCTTAACAGACTGTCGGGGCAAGTGCTGTTAGCGAGTAGCAGCACCTATGAATGCCGGCACGGCACACGAGGGGGCGGGTGGCCAGCACCACGCCCGACCGCCTTTGTCTCCAGGTACTGATCTGAGGCTGAGTCGACCTAGGGGAGGCCCAGGACCGGTTCATGTAATCGTCACTGGGTATCGGCCATGAGCGGGAATCGAACCCGGGTCACCAGGTTCGTAGCGCAGCATAGCGCTAACCACTACACTACCGCACACACACACAAAGGTACACACACACAGGTACACACACACACAGGTACACACACACACAGGTACACAAACTTACACACACAGGTACACACACACAGGTACACACACACACAGGTACACACACACTTACACACACACACAGGTACACACACACTTACACACAAAGGTACACACACACAGGTACACACACACACAGGTACACACACACACAGGTACACAAACTTACACACACAGGTACACACACACAGGTACACACACACTTACACACACAGGTACACACACAGATACACACACACACAGGTACGCGATTTTGCTGAGTTGCTCAATTTTACGAATTCCCAACGCCGTCACTGCAGTGCCCCACCCCCAATACCCCCCCACCCCCCGCATCCCCCCGCCCTCCCAAAGACCCCACCACCCCCACCACCCCCACCTAACCCCCACCACCCCCACCACCCCCCACATCCCCCCCCCCACCACCCCCACCACCCCCCACCACCCCCACCACCCCCACCCCCCACCACCCCCACCACCCCCACCCCCCGTCACCTGTATTTCTCCCCCGGGCCAGGCGGCTCGCCGGCGCACGCCTCGCCCCCTGGAAGCGCCACCTCGCAATCAGAGCAACCTCCACCTCCTCCACCTTCTCCTCCTCCACCTCCTCCACCTCCAACCTCATCCTCCTCCTCGTTCCCCACGAGGGAATACTTCTCCTTGGCGGGCCTCGCCATCGCCTGCGGTCGCTCCTCCGATCACCACCAAACAGCAGCCGCCCGCCTGCGTGCCACCACCACCACCGGAGAGGAAGATGCAATAGCAGCAGCAGCACCACACACAGTCACCACCTCCACCACCACCACCGTGTTGGTACCAAAGTGTCGCTTCGTCATCGTCTCGTCTGGCAGTCGCACGCGAAGCGACGACTCCACAATCTGAAATCCACGTGGCCGGTAGCGGCCACGGCAGGGGCAGCGATGGAGTGGCGGTGTCAGAGACGGAGTCAGAGACGGACGTCTCCTTTGTGTTTGTGGATGTTGCCTTGTATAAAGGAGTCAGTTTTTGTACCAGTTGAAAGGGTAAAAACCTACTACTATATTTTGCCACTGGTAAAGGAGATGTCTCAGTGTAAATGCTTACCCCGAGCTCTCAATGCTCTGATATTGCGCTGTCTTTGAGTTGTACGCATTTTGGCGTCATCTGGTCCAACACCAATGGAGACTAGGCTCTAAGAAAAGCTGTCTCGGGTGTGGACCAATCAACTTCAAGGACAGTACATATCATTATCATCATCAGAGTTGTTTATTTTTGTTTGCATTTTGACTGCTTGTGTTGTGGTTATTGCAAACATGATGCCTTGTATAAAGGTGTCAGTTTTTGTACCAGTTGAAAGGGTAAAACCCTATTACTATATTTGTGGATGTTGTTGTCGATGTCATTGTTGTGGTCGTTGTTGTTAACGACGGTCTGTTCTACATGACCACAATCTGCACCACCACCACCACCACTGTTGTGGAGAGGGTCTTCATTGGCCCACGGTGTGTGCAGTGGATGAGGTTTAGGGTGGACCGTGAGCTTTCACTTATTAGTAGACGCTTTTGTTTAACTCACTGTGTCTGTTTGTCGTTGTCGTATTCTCAAATCTTGTAACTCAATTTTAAACCACTTCCCAATGTGGTATCGACTGCAAACTTGGTATACTTGTGTCATACTGATGACAATACTATATTCTATCATTAAAAATAATCAATATATTTTTTAAAACATTATTTTGTATATGTTATGTTTCGGCTTGGGTCTAATTGTCCACGCTCAACTGACGTTGGCTGTAAATCACCACGGCCCCTTACGTTGTGGCAAGCCTCCCGGCCACTTCCTGGAGTTCTTCCATTACTAGTACGGTACATTTCATGAAAGCGTGTTTAAAAGAAAGTATTTTTAAATATTACTAATTAGACTAAGCGCTTACAAAGTGGGGGTCGGGGTTGTGTTGGGGGGGCAGACCCCCCCCCCCACCAAACTCAGATTCCCTCTTGCAAAACCATCTCGTGTCTTCTCAATTTACGTACGTTGAACATCTTTCGCACCGTACGTAGCCGACCGTGAGAATCGGTTGGCCACGTTCAATGAGTTATCATAACCCAGTAAACTATCAACTATTTTTAATTTCGATTTAAAGCTTTCGTGACTGCAGGGATTCATATTCTTGGATCTTTCGGTAAAGTCACGTAGGAGGGAAATAATAAAATAATATAAAACAATACAAATTCTCACGACGTTTCGACTGCAACACAAGCAATCATCATCAGGTGTGAAAAACCGCCACTTTTTTCAAATTTTCTTGCTGTGGATTTCACACCTGATGACGATTGCTTGTGTTGCAGTCGAAACGTCGTGAGAATTTTTATTGTTTTATATTTTTATTGTTTTATTATTTCCCTTCTACGTGACTTTACCGAAAGAACCAAGAATATCAACTATTTTCTTTTATTTTACCAGGTAAGGCGGCCCCACTTGCGCTTCATAGTCACAGCTCTTTGTCAGAAGCCACGTGTCCATCACAAATGACAGCTCAACGTCGTGGCTTGTCGTCATGTGTAAAATGATATCAGCAGCCAAACACTCTGAACTGTTGCCACACACTTTTCAAGTCTAGATTGAGAAGTGTATTTCTTAAGAACGGATGTCTGTGTGTTTAGTGCCTGTTGTCCTTCCCCGACCCCTCCGATTGGCGCGGTTGGCTGCATGTGCGCAGTCACACATGCAACACGATTCTAAATGTGGAGGGGGAATACCCAGAGGGCCCGGAACAACATCCACGCAGCGACCACGGGGAGAGAGAGAGACACGCAGACTCCACACATATACAGCAGCAGGCGTCAGGGTCAGGAGTGAACCCACGACCTCCTGTACACCAGGCGAGGTAGTTAACATCTCACCACAGGGAGAGAAAGAGACACGCAGACTCCAAATATACAGCAGCAGGTGTCAGGGTCAAGATCGAACCCACGACCTCCTGTACACCAGGCGAGGTAGTTAACATCTCACCACAAGGAGAGAGAGAGAGACACGCAAACTCCACATACAGCAGCAGCAGGCGTCAGGGTCAGGAGTGAACCCACGACCTCCTGTACACCAGGCGAGGTAGTTAACATCTCACCACAGGGAGAGAGAGAGACACGCAGACTCCACATACAGCGGCAGGCGTCAGGGTCAGGAGTGAACCCACGACCTCCTGTGCACCAGGCGATATCGCGAGTCAGCTGATGGTGAGGGTTGTGAGCGTGTCGATGTTGCTACCGAGGTCTCCACGAGATTGTAAGACGCGAGGCACAACATTGAGTGTTGATAAAGTTCTACAAATTAAGTTCTACAAATAAAGTTATACAAATCTCTCTCACACACACACACAAAGATCCCCCGTATAGCCCTCAACAGACTGTCGGGGCAAGTGCTGTTAGCGAGTAGCAGCCTATGAAGGCCGGCACTGTGGCACACGAGGGGGTGGGTGGCCAGCACCACGCCCGGCCGCCTTTGTCTCCCCCAGTGACGATGTTTACGACACACCGCACCTCATTTGAGGCTGAGTCGACCTATGGGAGGGAGGCCCTAGGACTGATTCAGATAATCGCCACTGGCATTTTACCGGGCTCGCAGCGCGGCGCGGCGCTAACCGCTGCACCACCGCTCCCCACAAAACATGCAGAGTCCAAAGATCCCCGTGTAGCTTCTAACAGACTGTCAGGGCAAGTGCTGTTAGTAGCGAGTAGCAGCAGCGCCTATGAAGGAGACAAAGACAAAGGTCCCCCGTGTAGCCTCTAACAGACTGTTGGGGCAAGTGCTGTTAGCGAGTAGTAGCAGCAGCGCCTATGAAGGAGACAAAGACAAAGATTCCCCGTGTAGCCTCTAACAGACTGTCGGGGCAAGTGCTGTTAGGGAGTAGCAGCAGCGCCTATGAAGGAGACAAAGACAAAGATCCCCCGTGTAGCCTCTAACAGACTGTCGGGGCAAGTGCTGTTAGTAGCGAGTAGCAGCAGCAGCGCCCATGAAGGAGACAAAGACAAAGATCCCCCGTGTAGCCTCTAACAGACTTTTGGGGCAAGTGCTGTTAGGGAGTAGCAGCAGCACCTATGAAGGAGACAAAGACAAAGATCCCCCGTGTAGCCTCTAACAGACTGTCGGGGCAAGTGCTGTTAGTAGCGAGTAGCAGCAGCAGCGCCTATTAAGGAGACACAGACAAAGATCCCCCGTGTAACCTCTAACAGACTGTCGGGGCAAGTGCTGTTAGCGAGTAGCAGCAGCAGCGCCTATGAAGGAGACAAAGACAAAGATCCCCCGTGTAGCCTCTAACAGACTGTCAGGGCAAGTGCTGTTAGCGAGTAGCAGCAGCAGCGCCTATGAAGGAGACAAAGACAAAGATCCCCCGTGTAGCCTCTAATAGACTGTCGGGGCAAGTGCTGTTAGCGAGTAGCAGCAGCACCTATGAAGGAGACAAAGACAAAGATCCCCCGTGTAGCCTCTAACAGACTGTCGGGGCAAGTGCTGTTAGCGAGTAGCAGCAGCAGCGCCTATGAAGGAGACAAAGACAAAGATCCCCCGTGTAGCCTCTAACAGACTTTCGGGTCAAGTGCTGTTAGCGAGTAGCAGCAGCACCTATGAAGGAGACAAAGACAAAGATCCCCCGTGTAGCCTCTAACAGACTGTCGGGGCAAGTGCTGTTAGCGAGTAGCAGCAGCGCCTATGAAGGAAACAATGACAAAGATCCCCCGTGTAGCCTCTAACAGACTGTCGGGGCAAGTGCTGTTAGCGAGTAGCACCTGCAAGGGCCGGCACTGCGGCACACGAGGGGGTGGGTGGTCAGCACGGCTCTCCGCACGCTCCACACACGCGCACAACGCACAGCACACCGGGTCCATGAGACGCATCCTCGATTGTTTTACTTTCAAAACTAACAAATCCTATCGTGCGAAAGGTACGTGCCACGTCTCGCTGTGTGTGTGAGCGCGTGAGACAACTCACTTGTACCGGGAGGAGATCGTCAGTCCGACCGCTCACAACAACAACAGCAGCAGCAGTAGCAGCAGTAGTAGCAGCAGCAGTAGCAGCAGTAGCAGCGGCCACTCGCGAAAACTTTGTTGAAGCTTCAAACTCAGCCCGCTCTAACGACTTCCCAGGTCTCACGGGGGAGGAAGGGAGGGAGTGAGGGGTGAGGAAGGTGGTGCATTGCATCGTCTCACGCCCACCAACCTGAAAAAAGACCACCCCCCCCCCCCCCCCGTGTAGCCAGTTGGGTAAGTGCTGCCAGCGAGTAGCAGCACCTATGAAGGGCAGGGGCAGTACACAACAGACAGAGATCTCCCGTGGAGACTTAGACTCCTGGGCAAGTGCTGAGCACCTATGAAGTCCAGGGGCAGTACACACGCACAGCCAGAGATCTCCCGTGTAGACTTAGACTCCTGGGCACGTGCTGAGCACCTATGAAGTCCAGGGGCAGTACACACGCACAGACAGAGATCTCACGTGGAGACTTAGACTCCTGGGCAAGTGCTGAGCACCTATGAAGTCCAGGGGCAGTACACACGCACAAACAGAGATCTCACGTGGAGACTTAGACTCCTGGGCAAGTGCTGAGCACCTATGAAGG